GAATCCCTGAAGTGTATAAGCGCTTAGGAATCCTGAGGGAATCCGAAGGGAATCCTGAAGGAATGCGAGCGAATCAAAAGGAAATCCTAAGGAAACCTAGCGAATCCGAAGGAATCCTAAGGAATCCTTAGGAATCCTACCGAATCCTCAGCGAATCCTAATGGAATCCTAAGGAATCCTTGCGCAGACCGCACGCCGTTCCCGTCTGGGTTCGCGCTTGCGCGCCTCAGGAATCCTTGAAGTGCATAAGCGCTTCGGAATCCTGAAGGAATCCGCAGGGAATCTTCAAGGAACGCTAGCGAATCCGAAGGGAATCCTAAGGAAACCTAGCGAATCCTAAGGAATCCTAAGGAATCCTCAGGAATCCTACCGAATCCCCAGCGAATCCTGATGGAATCCGAAGGAATCCCCGCGCAGACCGCACGCCGTTCCCGTCCGGGTTCGCGCTTGCGCGCCTCAGGAATCCCTGAAGTTTATAAGCGCCTAGGAATCCTGAAGGAATCCGAAGGGAATCCTGAAGGAATGCTAGCGAATCCGAAGGGAATCCTAAGGAAACCTAGCGAATCCTAAGGAATCCGCAGGAACCCTACCGAATCCTCAGCGAACCCGAATGGAATCCTAAGGAATCCGTGCGCAGACCGCACGCCGTTCCCGTCCAGGTTCGCGCTTGCGCGCCTCAGGAATCCTTGTAAGTGTATAAGCGCCTAGGAATCCGGAAGGAATCCGAAGGGAGTCCTGAAGGAATGCTAGCGAATCAAAAGGGAAACCTAGCGAATCCGAATGGAATCCTAAGGAATCCTTTCGCAGACCGCACGCCGTTCCCGTCCGGGTTCGCGCTTGCGCGCCTCCGGAATCCTTGTAAGTGTATAAGCGCCTAGGAATCCTGAAGGAATCCTAAGGGAATCCTGAAGGAATGCGAGCGAATCCGAAGGGAATCCTAAGAAATGCTAGCGAATCCGAAGGAATCCTAAGGAACCCTTAGGAATCCTACCGAATCCTCAGCGAATCCTAATGGAATCCTAAGAAATCCTTGCGCAGACCGCACGCCGTTCCCGTCCGGGTTCGCGCTTGCGCGCCTCAGGAATCCCTGAAGTGTATAAGCGCCTAGGAATCCGGAGGGACTCCTGAGGGAATCCTGAAGGAAGGCGAGCGAATCAAAAGGAAATCCTAAGGAAACCTAGCGAATCCGAAGGAATCCTAAGGAATCCGCAGGAATCCTACCGAATCCTCAGCGAATCCGTATGGAATCCTAAGGAATCCTTGCGCAGATCGCACGCCGTTCCCGTCCAGGTTCGCGCTTGCGCGCCTCGGGAATCCCTGAAGTGTAGTAGCGCCTAGGAGCCTAGGAATCCTGAGGGAATCCCAAGGGAATCCTGAAGGAATGCGAGCGAATCCGAAGGAAATTCTAAGAAATGCTGGCGAATCCGAAGGAATCCGAAGGACTCTTCAGGAATCCGACCGAGTCCTCAGCGAATCCGAATGGAATCCTAAGGAATCGTTGCGCAGACCGCACGCCGTTCCCGTCGGGGTCCGCGCTTGCGCGCCTCAGGAATCCCTGAAGTGTAGTAGCGCCTAGGAATCCTGAAGGAATCCGAAGGGAATCCTGAAGGAATGCTAGCGAATCCGAAGGGAATCCTAAGGAAACCTAGCGAATCCGGAGGAATCCTAAGGAATCCTCAGGAATCCTACCGAATCCTCAGCGAATCCGAATGGAATCCTAAGGAATCCTTGCGCAGACCGCAGGCCGTTCCCGTCCAGGTTCGCGCTTGCGCGCCTCAGGAATCCTTGTAAGTGTATAAGCGCCTAGGAATCCGGAGGGAATCCTAAGGGATTTCTGAAGGAATGCTAGCGAATCCGAAGGGGATCCTAAGAAATGCTAGCGAATCCGAAGGAATCCGAAGGAATCCTAAGGAATCCCACCGAATCCTCATCATAGTCATCATCATAATCATCCTAAACATCATCATCATTATCATCATCATCATCATCATCATTATCATCATCAGCATCATCATCATCATCAGCATCATCTTCATCATCGTCGTCATCATCATCATCACCACCATCATCGTCATGAATCGTGATCATCACCAGCATCATCACAATCGACACCAGCATCATCAGCACCATCCGAATCATCATCATCGCCACCATCAGCATCATCGTCATCATCGTCGTAATCAACATCATCATCATCATCGTCATACATCAGTATCATCATCATCGTCATCATCGCCATCATCATCATCATCATCCGCATCATCGTCATCATACTAATCGCCACCACCACCACCATCATCATCGCCATCATCGTCATCATCATCATCATCATTATCATCACCTTCTTCAACATCATCATCATGATGTAAGCTCCCAGTGCAATATCAGCAGACTCTATTGAGCAACCCAAATGCAAGCAATGCAAATTAATGCAAAGCAACCCAATGCAAAACAATGCAATATCTTCGGAATCGAACACGGCGGGCCCAGACGGAGACAGCGCTCGCTTCCATCATGCTCGATTGTATGGACGGGGGGCAACTTAAAACCGAAAACCGAGTGTTAAACTCTTAAGGTAAATTTATGTTCTGGGATCCAACATCGGCCACGTAAACCTCTAAAACATATACTGCAGTGCCAAAGAAAAACAAAGACAACGACACGTCTTCAGGACAGCGGTTCGCTACTACACGGCCCGGACGGGCACGGCGTTACCTACTACTACTACTACTACTACTACTACTACTTCTACTACTACTACTACTACTGGTATTACTACGACGACTACTACTACTACTACTACTACTACTACTACTACGGCTATTGCTACGACGACGGCTACTACTAGTATTACGATCACTATTACTATTACGACGACTACTATTTCTACTACGACTACTACTACTACGACTACGACTATTATTACTACTACTACTACTACTACTACTACTACTACTACTACTACTACTACTACTACTACTGCTAATACGAATACGAATACTAGTAATACTACTGCGACTACGACTACGACGACGACGACGACGACGACGACGACGACGACGACGACGACGACGACGACGACGACGACTACTACTACTACTACTACTACTACTACTACTACTACGACTACGACTACTACTACTATTACTACTACTGCTGCTTTCGCTACTACGACTACTACTACGACTACTACGGCCACGTCGACTACTAGGACTCCAGGACTACTTCTACGATTTCTACGACTACTACGGCTATTCCTACTCATGTTCCTTTTCCTACTCTTTGTCCTCCTTCTCCGCCTCCCCCTCCTCCTCCTCCACCTCCTCCTCACCCTCATCCTCATCCTCCCTCATCGTCCTCCCTCCTCCTCCTCCTCCTCCTCCTCCTCCTCCTCTTTTCTCCCCCTCCTCCTCGGGAGCGCGCACGGGCAGGACGCGGACAGATGATAGGAGGGCGCGGGGGAGCGGTAGGAGGAGGATGAGGAGGAGAAAGATAAGGAGGACGATGAGGAGGACGAGGAGGAGTACGAGGAGGAGGAGGAGGAGGAGGGAGGCCCGTGCGCTGTCGAAGCCGCTTTTGGCTCTGGCAATTAGCGCTGTTTTTTGGACGCCCGGGCGCCTTGCGCCAAGCCCTGAGGCCCGCAATCGTCGGGGCACGGCTGGGCTCGGGCGCGCGCGTGCCCGTCGGGCGGGGGGGGGCGGCGGCAGAGCCGCGCAGCAGCCGCGCAGCAGCCGCGCAGCAGCGGCGCAGCAGCGGCGCAGCCGCGGCGCAGCCGCGCTTGGCGTGCCGCGGAAGCCATGCAGCTCAGCATCGGGGTGAGGACCGCGAGCGCCCGCTCTCGGCGGAGGAGGAGGAGGAGGAGAAGCGGCGAGGAGAGCAGGAGGAGCAGCAGGAGGAGAAGGAAGAGCGGCGAGGGTTGAGGTTATGTGGCGCTTTTGAGCCCCTTTGGGCCTCCTGAGGGCTCCTCGTCGCCGCGGCTGGATTCCCTTTCAATGCGGGGCAGAACGCACCTCAGAACAGGTCCGGGAAGTTTGCTTTTTTGAGTGGGGGAGGAGGAGGAAGAGGAGGATGAGCATGAGTCTCCACCTCGTCTTCCTTCCTTCCTTCTTCCCCTCCCTCCCTCCATTCTCTGCCTCCTCGTCCTCCTGCTCCTCCTCCTCCTCCTTCTCCGCCTCCTCCTCTTCTTCCTCCTCCTCCTTCCTCCTCCTCCTCTGCTCCTCCTCCTTCTCCTCCTCCTGCTTCACCTCATCATCATCAGCAGCATTATCATCATCCTCATCCTCACCACCCTCATCATAATAAGAATAAGAAGAAGAATAGTAATACTATGAATAATACTAATAGTAGTACGAATAATTATACTGATGCTATAGTAGTAATAATAATAATAACAACAACAACAACAACAATTATCATAATCAGCATCATCAACATCATCATCATCCTCGTCCTCGTCCTCATCCTATCTGCATCAGCAACATTATCAGAATCGTCTTCATCATCATTATCATCATCAGAATCATCATCATCATCAGCATCAGCATCATGATCACCATCATCGTCATCGTCAGCATCACCATCAGCAGCAGCAGCATCACCATCATCAGCAACAGCATCACCAGCAGCATCATCCTCAGCATGAGCAGCAGCATCAGCAATAGCAGCAGCATCAGCAGCCTCAGCATCATCAGTGTCATCAGCATCATCACCGTCACCAGCAAACACAAAACGCTCACAGCAGGACCACCAACCACAACAACAGCAACAACACCAACAACCATAGCAACAACAACATCATCATCAGCAGCAGCATAACCATCATCATCTGCATCATAATGATGACCATCATCATCAGCAGCAGCATCATAATCGCCATCATCAGCATCATCGTCATCGTCATCGTCATCGTCATCGTCATCGTCATCGTCTTCATCATCAGCATCATCCTCCGCAGCATCAGCATCAGCCTCATCATCAGCGACATCAGCATCAGCATCTTCATTACCACAGTCATCGCCACCGTCCACCTCCATCACCATCATCATCAGCATCGTCGTCATCATCATCAGTCTCATCACCACCACCAACATCAACAGCAGCGCCGTCGTCGTCATCATCCGCCTCCCACCCCCTCCTCCTCCTCCTCCTCCTCCTCCTCCTCCTCCTCCTCACCATCATCATCATCAGCATCATCAGCATCATCATCATCATCTTCTCCTCCCTCCTCCTCCTCCTCCACCTCCTCCTCCTCCTCCTCCTCCTCCTCCTCCTCCTCATCATCACATCATCATCAGCATCATCATCATCATCATCATCATCATCATCATCATCATCATCATCATCATCATCATCATCATCATCATCATCATCATCATCATCATCATCCGTATCCTCCTCCTCCTCCGCCTCCGCCTCCTCCTCCTCCTCCTCCTCCCTCCCTCTCCCTCTCGCCTCGGCTCGGCAGGCCCTCGAGTCTGCACCGCCGCCGCGACGGTGAGCCGGGACGAGGGACGCAGCCCACGCACCCCAGGCTCGCCCGAAGTGGCCCCGAACAGAACTGGAACGGCCGCCAGGTGGTCGTTTTTGTTATTAATTTGTTTTGCCGATCGGCGTGGGCCCTCGCGCCCCCCCCTCCCCCCCCCCCATGGAGTAGATCTTGGCTGTTTCTGTCGCCTGTTTCGAGCAGGTGGAGGCTCCCCTCATAGGATGCACTCTTGCAAACAGTCGCACTAAGCAGAGGTCTGGAGCCAGACCCCCCCCCCTTCTCTATCTCCGCCCAACGACGAAGCGCCGAACAAAAAAACGCTCGGGCGGGGTCCAGGACGAGCCCCGGGCACCCAGGGACGGGCCGGGACGGGCCACCCCAGGGAGCCCCAGACCAGGAGCCCCGACGTCGGTCGGGGCCCCCCCGTTGGCGGCCGCCCCGAGGGAGCACCGCCTGCTTCCGCGCCGCGCCTCGGGCGCCTGCGGCCGCTCCTCTCCCCGCCCCGGCCTTCTCTCGCGGGCTCGCGGATGTCGGCCCCGCGGCGCGACCTTGGCCTCCGTCGCTCGGCCAGCGCCCCGGTGGGCTGCACGGGCGTCGTCGTTCTCGCAGGAGGAGGCGCCGTGGGCGTCAGCGCAGGCGTGGGCCTCCCCGGCGGCGTGGCCGGCGTGGCCCGTCTCCCTGTCCTTCTCGTCGGCTTGGCCGGCCTCCTCCCCGGATGCGTTGCTGACCCCCTCGTGGTCCTCGTCGGTCTGTTCTTCTCCATGGGTGCAGGCGTCGTCGCACTCGGCGACCTCGGCTACGTAGGCGTTGACCTCCATGACGAACGAGCGTCATCGAAATTTGGTAGTCGTCACTGTGGGCACTGCTGTCGCTCATCGTGTGCTCGCTGGTTTCGACGCTCTTGCGGATGCTGAGCATGCTGTCCTTCTTATGTCTGCAAGCGGCGGTGTATTCCTCTTTGGTCTGTTAGACCATTTCCTTGGTGTTGGCCGCGATGCTGGTATTGGTCGCGATGATGCTCACCATCGTCTGCTTGGCGACTGGGGCTAAAGGATATGTGCCCACCTTGGCCTCTTTGAGCTCCTTCATCCTTGCGCTGGCTGCCCGCTCCAGCTCCAATAGCTTCGCATTGCGGACTGCCTTGGAGTCGCCGCTGGTGACGTCCTTCGCTCTATCGGTGTAGCAGAGGCTGTTCTCTGTCCCGCGGTAGTTGCCCTCGCTGTTGCCCCCGATGCTTCCCCCGTCCAACGAGATGATGAGCATCAAGTGCTGGCTCCCGAGGCCCGTTAGGCCGTACTTGGCGTCGATCCGTTCGCCGATGTCGTACATGTCGTCGTCGATGACGTGCTCGATGTTGGTCCGCCTGCGAATGTGGGCTGCCTTGCTGAGGTAGGTTGCGCCCGGGGTCCTGCCCAGCAAGATGCCCTCCGTGTCGAGGGTGAAGTCGAGGAGTTCCTCGACGTCCCCGCGAATCCAGCCCATCTGCGCAATCTGGGTGGCGTGCCTGTTGCCGTGCTGGATGTCCTCGCCCTGCAGCCCGTCGGCGCTGACGTCGGTCGTGGGGTAGGCGCGGACGTGGGTGGCGCCGCTGATGGTGTCGTTGCCCCCGAAAACGCTCTTGCAGCTGACGCACACCCTGCCGTCCGTGGCGATGTGTCTGGCCTCTCCCCGTCACACGCAGGTCGTTCAAAGTAGGTATTTCTGGATTCCCTGATCCCAATCTACTTCAGGCGACTTCCAATTTCATGGTCTTGATGTGTTTTATGTTTCTCCGGGAGGGCCTGGACCCAATCTATTTTAGCCGCTTTCCCACTTCATGTTTTACCCACTTCCGACCGACGTGCAATGGTACCCATGCCCGTGGATCCTGAATCACCCTGAATCTGGCTTTATCCCGCTTAATCCGCGGCCCAATCCGGCGTAGTGGCCACCCATGGAGCTAGATCCTCGTTAATCATTTCGACGAAGACCTCCCAGTATCAAGGGAGAAACAACCCACCCCGACCGGACAAGTGGCGTTTGCTAAACGGCCTCGGGCGTTTACTCAACAGCCCTGCCCTGCTCGGTTCCTCCGGCGGGGGCGTTCCGTACACGGCCTCGCGTGTCGGGGCGGTTCTTCTCGTGGGGGGGACGTTGCTGCCCTCTGCGGCCGTGGCCTCCTCCCCGCCCCATGGCACCCGTGCCCCGTGGGAGCCTCCCCGGGCGCCGTGCCCTGCGCAGCGCAGGCCGGGAGAGGGCGCCCTCGCCCCAGCTGCGGCGAGAGAGGCGCCTCGCCCCCGGCCCGCGGCCCTCCGGGGGGGCGTCGAAGTGCCCACGTCGCCCCCCCCCCCCGCAGGGCCGAGGCCGAGGCCCGGCGCTCCCGTGGGAGTCTGCACGGGCGCGGGCGGGGGTGGCGGGGAAGCGGTGGGGGGGAGGACGGCAGTCCGGAAGGTATGCAAGAGGATGGGGGGACCCTGGGATCTGGGTGTGCTTCTGTGTGTGCGCCCTGGTGCCCCTCCCCTTCCGAATGTGCGGGGCGATCCCTGGGGAAGGGGGGGGGGGAGAAAGGTGCCTGTCTCGCTCCCTGCAAGCCCCCCCTGGGGCCCTGAAGGACTCCTCGAGGGGCCCTGAAGGGCCCCTTTTCCGTTTTCTGCAGCCTTCGCTGCCCCCCCCCCCCCTTGTTGCCCCCCCATGAATTCGTGCCCAACGGGGCTGGGACGAGGATAAATCCGTTCCAGAGCGTCCCAGAGCGCTCTCAGAGCTGGCCGGAACGCTCTGACAAGGCCGCGGCGCCCGATCACCCTCCAGCGCCGCCGGATCTCAGAGATTCCCGATGTATCCTCACCCGAGTTTATCCTCGTCCTGGCTTCGTCTTAGTATGCACGGACTCGCGCTCGCCTCGCCTGGGCCTCCCTAGTGCTGTCGCAGTCCGCCGCGGCTGGTCACGGGCTGGCGCCCGCAGAGGGGACAGCGCGGCTGCGCGTAAACCCCCCCCCGAGGGGTGGCGACCGCGCGTGGGGCGGCGCCCGCGTCGGTCGCAAGGGGGGCAGAGTCCCCGCAAGTGCCTTCCCTTCCTCCTGCCTCCTCCTCCTCCCTCCTCCCCCTCCTCCTCCTCCTCCTCCTCCTCCTCCTCCTCCTCCTCCTCCTCCTCCTCCTCCTCTCCTCCTCGCCCTCCTCCTCATCGCCTCCTACTTCTCGCCCTCCTCCTCCGCCTCCGCCTCCACTTCCTCCTCCTCCTCCTCCTCCTCCTCCTCCTTTTCCTCCTCCCCCACCTCCTCCTCTCGAAGGACGAACACGGGCATATACATAAGCTTTCGGAGCCCCGCCCGGATTTCTTGATTCTGCGCTGGGTCCCCCTGGTGGCGACTCCAGCGCCGCCCCTGAAGCGCTCCGCGCGCCAGGGAGGTCTGGCGCGGATCCAAGAGATCCGCGCGGACCGTCGAAAGTTTATGCTTATGCAGTTGTTCATTCTTCTATCCTCCTCGAAGCTCGATGCTGCTGGTCGTCTCGCCCTAGGACCGAGACGCTCGTCGTCCCCCTCCTCCGTCGTTATCGCGTTCCTGCCACCCCCGCCCGCGTCCTATCCCTCCTCCCTCCCTTCCAGCGTGAGGAAAAACGTGTCAAACCAACCGCATGGCGCAATGGTACCATTCTCACGCGAGCTAGCCCAGGCAACTGGAAGGCCGCATCTCCATGCAATGGAAGTCGACCCCCAAGGTGAGCGGACCCCCCGAAGCCAAAACAAGTGGCGAGAGTCAGCAATGACTCAAGAGGCAGATACAGCGAATGGCGCAATGGCTTCGTACAGTCACGACGCTGAAATAAGAACAAATGTGGTTCTGGAGGGGCTGTGGTCTGCGGGCCCTTCCTTACATCTAGGCAGGGGAACCCGTTCGTGGCCGAGGCTCGCCGTGGCCAGAAAAGCCCCTTCGCTCTTTATTCAGCGGTCTTTGGTAGCACGATGACTGCACTTACGCCAACCAGTCCGAGGGACAGGAAGGCCCCTCCCCCCGCACTCAAAGTCTGACCCCCCAGGTGTGCTGACCCCCCATGCGCAGGGGGAAGAGGCTGGCAAGCAAGCCATCACTCGGGGGGCGGGGCAAAGGGGCGTAGACGTCGCCCTTGCCTCGCGCTGGCTGCCGCAGCCGACGCGGCCTATGATCACGATGCGTTTAAGTTGCACTTGAATTCCCCATCCTCGGCCCCGCCACCGCCATCCTGCTCCACCCCATCCTGCTCCACGGCCCCACCATCCTGCTCCACGGCCCCACCATCCTGCTCCACGATCCCGCCATCCCGCTGATCCGAACCGCCGTCCTGCTCCACGGCCCCGCCACCCCGCCCCTGAGGTGCTAGGAGTCCTCCGGAGGTCTTCGGAGGTCGCTGGAGTTCTTCGGAGACTCTGGTGGTCTGCGGAGGTCTTCGGGTGTCTCCAGCAATCTTCTGGGTTTGCCAGCTGTCTCCGGGGGCCTTCGAAGCGGAGCTCTGGCCGCGCAGTGCTCTGCTTGGCTACTTACCCCTCGCGGTCAACGGGGGGCAGCCGACAACTCCCTCCCCCTCCCTCCCTCCTGGGGGGTGCGGGGGTGGGTGAGAAATAGATACTCGCCCAGATTCATGCTCCCCCTCTCCAGGATTCTCGCTGACAGGACTCCCATCGCAAGAGCCCCAGAGACGTCAAGACGGGCTTGGTGCTCTGGGACGCCAGGGCGATTCGCTTCCCGTTCCTTTTCGGCGAGGACCATCATACAGGCCTCAGCCACTCTGGTGGGGACCACCATTAGGCCCACCCCGTCGACGGCTGCCATCATAGGGGCTGCCAGGGGTCTCGTTCCCATTCTTGACATTTTCACATTGCGGCGCCATTGCCAATAATTAGAGGGGGCCGAGGCTTTCTCTACGGTCCCTCGGCCAACGAAGACGGCCGCAGGGAGGGGTGTCAACGTACATCCACAACTCAGACTTTCAAGACCTGAATGCGCCAATTGCCACCATTCACTTCATTCCTCCTCTCCTTCGTCCTCCTCTTCTCCGTCTTCCTCCCGCCTGCCTCCTCCCCCTCTCCCCCATCCCCCCTTCCCTCCGGTTACTTCGGCCCCTTTTCTCCCTTCCCTCCTCCCTGCACAATGAAATACTTAGCGCGAATGCTATTCTCATGTCTCCCCCGACTACGAGCTGAAAGTGCCCCACCCTCTCTGCGCATTGTTTGTGGTCACCAGAGTTCGCAAGTTTGTACTGTATGGTGATCTTTCCTATCGGGCACTTTTCGGTATTTCAAATTGGTGTTCCCGCTGCAGCGCGCGCCTCATTTTAGGATCGCCGCTTCGCTCCCGTCGTTCAGAACGGAGATGTTGCCCCGGCGCGGGGCCATGTTTCTGAATCCGAGTCCTTCCTCATCGTTGTCTCCGCGCTCCTTTCTCCTCATCCGCTTTCCCTTAGTCCTGTTGTTCGCCCCGCTCCTCCCACTCTTGTGTTTGCTGCTGTTCTTTCTCGTCCTCCTCCTTCCTGCCCCCCCTCCTCTTCCCCCTGCTCATCCTCCAGCTCACCTGCCACCTCCTGCTCTGGTGTGCAACTCTTCGATTTTTGATTGCGCATAACACGATGGTGTCTCTTGACGGGGTCAGGGTCGACTAGACACTCGCCGGTGGATGGGAAAAACAACGCAATGGGAATTGACGGGTGGGAGGGGTCGGACGTCAGATTGTGCGCGATCGCACCTAGCTTCTCACTCCCCCCCACCACCCCCATCCCACCTCCGCCCCCTCCTTATTACCCCATTCCCTCCCGCCTGCTTCCCCCCCCCCCGTTTCTCACCACCCCACCCACCCACAACACCTTCTCTCACATCCCCCACCATCCCGATGCGCGAGAGCAGCAAGAGCAGCAAGAGTTTCACACAGCACGAGCATCAACAGGATGGGGGGAATGTCGGAAGAGGAGGAGGAGCAGCAGCAGCAGCAGGAGCAGGAGCAGGAGCAGGAGGAGGAGGAGGAGGCGAGAGGAAGCGGGCGAGGAGGGTCCGGGAAGCGCACGCATGAAGCAAGGCGCGTGCATTAGCGACGGTCTCCGCGCCCAGGCAGCATCCAGCAAAGCCCCGTCACCACACCAGGCGGCGTTGGCCCCAGGATTCGGGGGGCAAGCTCCCCGATCCGCGGACCCCAGCGCCCACGCGCCAAACGCGCGGATCCTGAATCCATGCCAGCGTGTGCCCGAGAGAAGAAAGAGAAGGAGGAGGCAGCAGGTGAGGTTGAGGTGGAGGAGGAGGAGGAGGAGGAGGAGGAGGAGGAGGAGGAGGAGTGGGACGCGGGGAACCACGGGCGGTCTCATCCCCTCGCTGTTCCTCCCCCGTTCTCCTCCTGATCCTTCCCCCCCTCCACCTCCACGTCCCGACCCCGTCTTCATAACCCTCCGTCGCACCGCTGGACCTGGTGGGGCTGCCTGGGCGCCCGACAGTTGCACACGCGGGCGGAGGGTCCGATGTTATCCATGTGTTGCTCTCGCGTCCAGGCCGCGCCCATTCGTCGCAATATGTTCCGACACGTACAAGGATGGTGCCGGATTGTCTTCAACATGGGGCCAACCCCAGCGCCGCAGGCATGATGTGTGTTCGTTATGCCATGGCAGTGGCACGGGTGCGTGGCGGTTCCGTTTCAACTCGGGGTTGTCGCTTCAGCGCATCGCAGATGTGCCTTAAAGGTTCCCAGCTGCTACGCGGATGGGGGGTGGCTCCTCTTCAAATGTAGTTGTCGTTAGACATGTCATCACATAAGTGGCACGACTTGGAGTTTGGCATTGCGAAACAGCTGCACGAATGGAGGGCGGCCCCTCTTCAATGTGATATCGTCGTTGGAGAGTTGCCCCGTGGGTATGACAGTAACGTCACGGTCGGGGACGTTGACTTAGCGTGTCGCGCCACCGCTTCTGGTCTGACACGTCTCGACGCGTCACGCTAGGCACGTCCCAGCCCCCAAGCATCAACGTTCCGAGTTGTTGTTCCGAGCCCCCCGTCCCACGAGGCAGAGCGATACGCTATGAGCGTGTGTAGAGTGTCGCAGGGGCTGCCGCCGCGACACGCGAGCAAAAGCTCCTAGCCGTAAGGCTGCCCGAGAGTTGCACGGACGGTGGGGGGCCTTGCTGAAACCGGGGATGGCATGGAACACTTCTTGAGTTTCAGGAACCTATTTTTGGATGGTGAGGAGGAGGAGGAGGAGGAGGAGGAGGAGGAGGGCGGGGAGGAGGAGGAGGAGGAGGAGGAGGAGGAGGAGGAGGAGGAGGAGAGGGAGGAGGAGAGGGAGGAAGAGAGAGAGGAGGAGAGGGAGGCGGAGAGGATGAGGAGCGGGAGGAGGAGAGGGACGAGGAGAAGAAGGAGGAGGAGAGGGATGAGGAGAGGGGGGAAGAGAGGGAGGAAGAGACGGAGGAGGGGGAGGAGGAGAGGGAGGAGGAGAGGGAGGAGGAGGATGAGGAGGAGGAGGACATGTTTCATAGTTAGAAGGGGCGCAGTGCTGCTCAGTTCCAAAATCGAGGCTCCCGCCGCAATGGCAGGGCCCCTGCCGCCCTCGTGGCTCAAGAGGGGGGCGCCTCCCGCAGAGGAAGGGGGGGGGCCCTTGTCGGGAGGAGGCTCGGGAAGGGAGGGTGCGCTGCTGCATCGATGGTGCATCCTTGGTGTCCTCTGGTCCTCGTCCCCCTCCCTCCTCGTCCGATCCTCCCCTCCTCCTGCTCCTCCCTGCGCTCCCCCTCATCCTCCGCCCCTTCCTCCGATCCTGATCCGCTGCGGGCTCTCCCCGCACGGGCTCGTCCCTCCTCGCGCCCCCCCCCCTGTTCCTACTCATCCCTCCTCATCCTCCTCCCAGCACCTCTCCTCCCCCCTGTCCCCCCCCCCACCCTCCCCCTCGGCGAGAACCCTGTCTGGCCCCGACAAGATATGGATCGACTGCCACTCTGACGACACGGTCGAGCAGTTCCAGGCATTGTTGCAGCAGAGGCAGGGGACACCACCACAGGACCGAAGAGGAGGAGGAGGAGGAGGAGGAGGAGGAGGAGGAAGGAGAGACGCAGGAGTGCGGAGGAGGAGGAGGGGCCAGTGCCCAGGTCGATGTGTTGCTTGGAAGGGCGCCAGGAGAAGGAAAGGGTCTTGAAGATGGATGGAGGGGAGTGGGGGATGCAGGATGGAGGAGGGGAGGCGACCCCCAGGCCCTGGGCGGCCCTCCACAGCCGATGGGGCCACGCGAGCCTCGGCGCGACTGGCGGCGACCCCCGCGTTGCCAGATCTCGGGGGAGCCAGGCATGCATCGGAGCGCAGGAGAAGAGGTGCCTCAGCTACGTGGCACCTCGGCGCCATCTGCGACCGCGAACACGGCGGGGTCGGCAGTCTGACAGACGATTCCACTTGCGACTCGCAGACCCCAGGGGTCATAGCGGGCGGGAGGCGGGAGGAGGAGAGAGAACGCGAGCAGGAGGATGAGGAGGAGGACGACGACGGCGACGATGACGGCCATGACGACAACCACGATCAAGACCACGACCACGACCACGACGGCGGGGACAACGACGACGACGACGACGACGACGACGACGACGACGACGACGACGACGACGGCGAGGACGAGGACGAGGGGGGCTTCGAAGAGGTGGGGTGAGGACTACGAGTGTGTGGAAATCATGGGTGGGGCCGTGGAAGCTCCAAGATTACATGGCCCCCTCTTCATCTGTCAATGCGTCCCCGGACATGCCTCAGGCTACGGTACGTTGCCCTTCTTCTTGGCCACATCCCCGGGGGACAACAGTTACGAGGACGACGATGACAACGACGACGTAGACGAACTCGATGAGGACGAGAACGAGGACGACGATGAGGAGGAGGATGAGCAGGGACAGGCATGGAGGGAGGGATGGAGGAAGGGCAGTGGAGGAGGGAGGAGCGAAGGGAGCGGAGGAAGGCCCCGCTACCTGTGACCCATCGAGTAGATTCCCGCATATACGCGGCGTTCCTCCATTGTGCGAGCGCCTTCGACCTACAGGCTATATGCCCTACGACCCAGGAGGAGGAGGAGGAGGAGGAGGAGGAGGAGGAGGAGGAGGAGGAGGAAGGGAAGACGAGGGAGCAGGAGGGAGCAGAAGGGAGCAGGAGGAAGAGGCAAGGACGAGGAGGAGAATGGAGGAGGAGGAGGAGGAGCAGAACGAGATGGGGAAGGAGGAGGAAGGGGGGAGGAGGAAGCAGAAGAGGAGACAGGAGCAGGGCACGCCCGCCGCAGGACCAGGTGCTCCTGTGCCGAGCCGCGGGCGGCGGCGAGATGGTGCCCAGGACGTTCTTGCGCGACTACGGCTTCCAGGAGGAGGACGAGGTCCTCCTCGTGAGGAGCCCCCCGCCCGACCGCCTCACCTCCTCCCCTCGTGTTCTTCCTGCTCCCTCCTCCCTGTGTTCGTTGCCTCCTCCTCGTCCTCTTGCTCATGATTCACCTCTCCCCTCGTAGTTCTCCTGCTCCCTTCTCCCTTTGTTCGATTCCTCCTCCTCCTCCTCCTCGTCCATGATTCACCTCTTCCTCACCCATCCTCTCCCCTTTATAAATAACTCCTTCCTGTCACACCCCCAGAGGTGTCAGCAGGGCGCACCGGGCGTTTCGCCCGAGACCTCACCACGTATCATCCCTGCAGCTCGAAATTTGCAACAGCTTCACGGATGGAGGGCGGGTCGTTTTCGACACGTGGTTCTCGCCTCAGCGCCACGCACAGTGGTTGTAAAAGCTTGCAGCAGTTTCACGAATGGGGGGCGGGCGGTTTCCACCATGGTGTTATCGCTCTAGCGCCGCGCACATTCGTAGCGTCGCGCACATGATTTCTGAAAGTGCGCAACAGGTTCAAATGCGCAACAGGCTCAAGGACTCGCATGGTCGAATTCTCAGGACTGGCGTTCTGGCAGAATTTCGGCTTGTCAAGGCGCAGCCGTCACGTTGCTTCGCGGTGTTGAAGTCCCCAGACGGGCGTTCTGCCACGATTTCATATTGTCAGGACGCAACAGTCACGTTGACTCGCAACGCTGAAGCCCATTCGAATATGTGTCGTTGTCCAATGAACCATTTCCCGCAAATGAGCTCTTGCAGGGACCTATGCAAAGGGCACTTGAATGGAGGCTTGATTGCAACGTCGTTGACGCGTATGGGGTTTACATTGGTCTTCTTCCTCCTCCTCCTCCTCTTCCTCCTCCTCCTTGCAGCATCGTCATAGTCGTCATCATCATCATCCTCATCATCATCATCATCATCATCATCCTCATCATCATCATCATCATCATCATCATCATCATCATCATCATCATCATTGTCATCATCAGTACCATCATCGTCCTCATCACCATCATCATTTATCAACAGCATCATCCTCTTCATTGACTTCATCCGATCACCATCAACAACATCAGCATTAACATTATCAGTAACAGCATCATCATCATCATCATCCTGATCAGCAGCCGCATCATCGCCATCATCGTCCTCATCGTCGTCATCCAAAATATCCTCCTCAGCATCGGCATCGTCTTCATCATCAGCATCAGCATCATCATCATCATCATCATCATAATCAGCATCAGCATCAGCATCATAATCGCCAGCCTCCTCCTCATCATCATCATCATCAGTAGCATCATAAGCATTATCATCATCAGCATCATCAGCATCAACATCATCATCATCATCATCATCATCATCATCATCCTCATCATCATCATCAGTAGCATCATCCGCATCATCAGCATCATCGTTATCAGTATCATCGTCAGCATCGGCATCATCATCAGCAGAATGATCATCACAATCATCAGCATCGTGGTCCCCCTCCTCCTGCTCCTCGGTCTTCCCTCCTGTCTCCTCGTCCTCGCCATCACCACTCCTCAGCATCATCGCCATCATCATGAAGAGGAGGAGGGAGGGAGGAGCAGCAGGAGGAAGGAGGGAGGGATGAGGGCGGAGAGAGGGAGGGAGGGAAGGAGGGAGGCATGGAGGGAGGAAGGGAGGAGGAGAAGGAGGAGAAGGAGGAGAAGCAGAAAGATGAGTACGACGATGTCGACGACGGCGACGACGACGACGACTGTGACGACTGCTCCGACGGCCGACATGATCCTCATGGGTGGAGAGGCCCGCGAGGAACGAGGATCTTGGTTGAGGGCTTGAAGATCGGGGCTGGACGATCGAGGGATTCGAGACTCCAGGATGGTTATTCGAGGATCGAGCCTCGATGCTCGACGATCGTGGTTCGAGGATCGTTGCTCAAGGCGCGTTATTCGAGGCTCCAGGATCGAGGCGCGATGCTCGAGGTTCGAGGACGCTATCTGGCGCTTTTCGGGCCGCTGGAGGCAGCCAGAGACTTCTGGGACATCCCTCTTCCTCCGCACTTCTCACTTCTCCTGCTCCTCCAGCTCCTCCTCCTCCTCCTCCGCCGTCCTCCTCCTCCTCCTCCTCCATATCCTCCTCCGCCGTCCTCCTCCTCCTCTCCCTCCCTTCCTCCCTCCTCCTCCTCCTCCTCGTCATGCAGCTATTCCTATCCTCCTCCTCATCCTCCTCCTCCTCCTCCTCCTCTCCTCCTCCTCCTCCTCCTCCTCCTCCTCCTCCTCCTCCTCCTCCTCCTCCTCCTCCTCCTCCTCCTCCTCCTCCTCCTCATCCTCATCATCATCTTCATCATCATCATCAGCAGCAGCCGCAGTATCAGCATCATCATCATCAGCGTCATCAGCATATCAGCACCAGCAGTAGCATCATCATCATCATCATCATCATCATCATCATCATCATCATCATCAGCATCATCATCATCACCAGCATCAGCACCAACATCAGCATCATCAGCAGCAGCATCATCATCCTCATCAGCATCAGCATCATCATCCTTCTCCGCCATTCCTCCCACCCTTCCCCCTCTCTCCCTCCGCCCATTCATTCCTGAGTTGACCTTCATGTCTGCGGCTCCATGCCAGGGGCAGATATTCTCGTCGCGGCCCGATGTTGTCGACGGCGCCCGGGCCCGAAAGCGGCCCCAGAAGCCGAAATCGCAGAACAAAATGGTCGTCGCCATTATAACATGGCGCTTCGAGCTTCTTCCTCCTCCCTTCTTCTCCTCCCTTCCTTTTTCCTCTTCCTCCTCCTCCTCCTCTTCCTCCTCCTCCTCCTCATCCTCCTCTTCCTTCTCCTCTTCCTGCCCGTCCTTCTCCCTTCCTTCCTCCGCATCCTTCTCCCTCCTCCCCTCCCCTTTCTCGGCTCGGCGGTGCGTGGCCCGTGCGTGGTGGGCGCTCTCTGGCCCACCGCCCCAGAGAGGACCTGCACCGTCTGCAGGATCCGCCAAGAATTATCCTTGATATAGAGGACCTTCTCTGGCCAGATGGCCTGCCACCACCACGTCAGCGGAAGTGCTCGATCATGCCTCGCGTCATTTCGCCCTCTCCCCCTCCGCCCTCCCCCTCCCCCAGACGCCCGGCGCTGTGAGTTCCTGGCTCGTGTGCCCCAGGGGTCTCGGCACTCCTTTCCGTAAGTCGGGCCTGTCCCCCTACAGAGGGATTTTCGACGAAAAAAATTAAATACCCCAAAAATGCTAAAAAATAGTCCAAAAATAGCCTGGGGACTCATTTTTTGAGTATTTTTGGACCTCTTTGGGGTATGTTTGGGATATGTTTGATTTCTCGTCGAAAATCCCCTGTGGGGGACACGCCCGACAGAAGTCTCGGCACCCCTTTCCTGGGGCAGGCGCGCTGCGCCAGGGACCCACCTCCGGGCTTCCCCCTCCCCGCCGCGGGGGCGGGCAAAGCGCGCCCATGCCCGCGGCCTCCGCGGGACGGCTTGCTCTCGCGGGTGCCCCGCGCGGAACGCCTCCGTGCGACCACGCATCCGCAGGGGATCGCGCCCCGGGATCCAGACCGCGAGGGCACGTCCTCGTCCTCCTCCTCCTCCTCCTCCTCCTCCTCCTCCTCCTCCTCCTCCTCCTCCTCCTCCTCCTCCTCCTCCTCCTCCTCCTCCTCCTCCTCCTCCTCCTCCTCCCCCTCCTCCTCCTTCCTCCTCTCCTCCACCCTCCTCCCTCCTCCCTCCTCCCCTCCCTACTCCCTCCTCTCCTCCCTCCTCCCTCCCCCCTCCCGCCTCCCTCCTCCACCTCCTCCCTCCTCCCTCCTCCCTCCTCCCTCCTCCCTCCTCCTCCCTCCTCCCTCCTCCCTCCTCCCTCCCTCCTCCCCCTCCTCCCTCCTCCTCCCTCCTGCACGTGCTCGCCGTGCGCGACATCCTCGCCTCGTGGCGGGGCCTGCTCCCGAGGAGCCTGGCGGAGGCAGCCCGCCGGGTGCGCCTCGAGGGCTCGGCTCGAGGGCTCCTCGACCCTCGAGGCCCTCGGGCCTCGAGGTCCCCGATGCTCGGGCCCTCGGGGCTCGAGGCCTCGAGGCACTCGAGGGCTCGAGCCCCTCGGGCCTCGAGGCCTCGAGGCCATCGGGCCCTCGGGGCCGGGCCTGTGCCCGTGCCCCGCCCCCCCGCAACTCCCGCAAGACAGGGCCGTGGGGCGGTGTTCGGGCGCTGCGCGATGTCAAGTCGGGCCCGTCCCGCTACAGGAGGAATGTTCAAAAGCAGTAAAACAATCTGGGGGACGATGTTCGGACTAGTTTGGGGTATTGGATGAGCCTGTGTTGAACATTTGCATGGAATGGTCCAAAAACAGCCTGTAGGAAAGGCATGCCCAACCTAAGCGTAATGGGGGGGCGATAGATCCAGGGGTGAAGAAAGGCGCACATGTTGTGCACCTCAGGGGCCCTGAAGATGCCCCTGGGACCGAGAAGGGGCACGGAGTGTGCTCGCTCACTCGCCCCCGCGCTCGTCGCCCCCGCATATTGAAGCAGCGCCCCGAGGCGTCGCGACGCCGTGCAAAGCCACGGCATCTGTGCCCGCGCGCTTTGACTCTCAGCCCCCCGTAGGAGGAGGAGGAGGAGGAGGAAGGAGGGGAGGAGGAGGAAGGAGGAGGAGGAGGAGGAGGAGGTAGGAGGAGGAGGAGGAGGAGGAGGGAGGAGGAGGAGGAGGAGGAGGGGAGGGAAGGAGAGAGGAGGAGGGAGGGAGGGAGGGAGGGAGGGAGGGAGGGAGGGAGGGAGGGGAGGAGGGAGGAGGGAGGGAGGGAGGAGGGAGGAGGGAGGAGGAGGAGGAGGAGGATGGAGAGGCGGAGGGAGGGGGAGGAGGGAGGAGGGAGGAGGGAGGAGGAGGAGGGGGGGAGGAGGAGGAGGAGAAGGAGGAGAAGGAGGAGGAAAGAGGGAGGAGGAGGAGGAGGAGGAGGAGGAGGGAGGAGGGACGAGGGACGAGGGAGGAGGAGGAGGAGGGAGGAGGGAGGAGGGAGGAGGAGGGGGGGAGCCCACCCCCGAGGAGCCTGCCCCAACGTCCAGCGGGCCCGCCCCCCGAGCTGCGCGTGCCGCCGCGCGGCAGGCGGCACAGCGGCAAGCGCCGGGGCGCGCCGCGGGGCGGCAAGGGCCGCCAGCCCGAGCGGGCGGCGGCCTCATCGGCCTCGGCCCGGCGGCCTCCGCCCGGCAGTCGCCCGTCGTCGGACGACGACGACGACGACGACGACGACGACGACGTCGACGACGACGACGACGACGACGACGACGACGACGACGACGGTGGCGGCGGTGACGGCGGTGGCGGCGACGACGACGACGACGACGACGACGACGACGACGACGACGACGACGACGACGACCGCACGTGGACGACGATTGCCACCACCGCGTCCACGACCGCCACCGCTTCACGCCCACGACTACCACCACCGCGTCCACGGCCTGAAAGCCTTGGCCCGGCAGCCTTACGGTCGGGAATGTTGGCTTAGCGTGTCGCGCTGCCGGTGTTGGTCCTCCACGCCTCGGCGCGACACGCTATTCACGCCTCAGTCCCCAGGCGTCAACGTTCCGAGACTTTCCCAGCCTCCCGCCCCCTGGCGCGAAGCGACACGTGTTCCACTCGCAAGGCACGGCGTGTCGCCGGGGCCGCCGCCGCCACGCGCTAAGCAAAAGTTCCCGACCATAGGCCCGCCAGCCTCCCAGACGTCTAACGTCTTGGCAAGGTCGAGGCTGCTTGAGCCGTTTGTTCGGGCACGTGGAGGCGCCGTTTTCGGGCCCCAGGGGCCGTTAGGAAGCGAGCTGGGGCTCCCTGACCGTGCGGGAGGCGAGCTACAGGGTCCCGATGACCCCCATCGGATGAGAAACAGAAGGTTGGGACCTTGAAGGTAGGGGCTCCCGCCCAAGAACTTTTCGCAAGTCACTCACTGACGAGATTCCCGCTCGAGACTTCTCTAAGATTCAGGCCCCAAGAGCGCCAAAGTGGTGACGACGGTAGCGGGATTGAGATGACCCCCATCGGATTAGAAAAACAAAAAGTGGCCCCCACTAGAGAGGGGCCTTCGCTCGAGTCTACCTCACAATTCGCTCAAAGACGAGTCTCCTGTTCGAGACTGCCTCACGATTGGTGTATGAGTGTGTGAGTGAGTGAGTGAGTGAGTGAGCGCGCGAGTGTTGTGTGAGCGTGCGTATGATATTGATAGCGATGACAATCATGATGATGATGATGATGATGATGACGACGACGATGCTGATGATGAATATTGATGGTGGTGGTGATGATGATGATGATGAGGAGGAGGAGGAGGAGGCGGATGATGATGATGATGGTGATGATGCTGATGATGATGATGATGGTGGTGATGATGATGATGATGATGGTGGTGCGGCTGATTATGATGCGGATGATGCTGCTGCTGCTGATGGTGATGATGATGATGACGATGATGGTGATGATGGCGTTGTTGGTGTGCCTATGTGAGTGCGCGTGGTAACGAAGATGACGATTGTACACAGCAAGAGAAGAGGAGAGGGGGGAAAGTGTGTGTTCCTGCGCGGGGGCACCTGGAGAAAACAAGAACCCCACTTGCGATGTGGAAAATATCATTCCTGACACACCACCAGACGACAGGGTGGGCTGGGCGGCTCACCTGAGACATCAGTAGTAATGAGCACAGCCTTGAAGCTGGAAGTTCCGAACAGCTAACTACACGGTGGAGGGCGGTCCGTCTTCAAAATTGATTGATCGCCGTAGCACCGCGTACACTCGTTCTAAAAACAGCAACTACGTACAGTGATAGATGGCGGATTCCCTCCTCAAACTGAGAATATATCGAATGATGTCCTCCACATTGACTACCACAAGCTTCAAACTGAAACCGCTAATCTGCTACAAGGATGGAGGGCGGTCTGTTGTCCAAGTCGGGCTTTCGCCCGAGATGTCGTGCGAGCGTATGTCCAAAAGTCTAGATACGTGCGACAGCTACACTGATCCAGGGCGGTCCCTTCTCAGAGTGGGGCTGTCGTCGGGCGCTTCCTTGATAACCCCGCGTTGCCGCATTCTCTATCGAAGACGCCTACGGCGAATCACCGCCGCCCCCTGCCTTTTTGGAAGCGCCTATGTGGCCGAACGTTGAGGCCAGACCTGCCAAGCTATCGGACCACGTGTTCCCCGAATCGGTTTGGAAAGCCTTCGGGGAACACGTGGGCATCTTGAAGGTCATCTTGGCCGTCTTGGAGGCCTCTTGGGCAAGCTTTGGGCGATCTTTGGGGCTTTTTGGGCCGTCTCGGGCCAGCTTCGAGCCAACTTCGGCCATCTTGGTGGGTTCCTGGCACGTCTGAAGCCGTCGGAAGCCGTTTGGGGGGCCTCTATGGGCCGACTTGGGGCCCGCTTGGAATGCTCCAGGGCCGTCTTGGAGGCCATCTTGGGCGTCTGGGAGGCCATCTTGGGCGTGTTGGAGGCCTCTTGGGCCCTCTTGGGGCCCTCTAGGGGCCATCTTGGAGGCCACTTGGGCCATCATGGGGCTCTCTTGGGGGCCTCTTGGGCGATCTTGGGGGCTTCTTGGGCCGTCTTGAGCCGTCGGAGAGCCGAAAAGGCGCAAATGCCAAAATCCTTCAAAAACCAAGGAAAAATCAATGATTTTGGCCTCTTCGGACTCTCCTGGAGGACCTCTTGGAGGCCTCTTGGGCCGTCTGGGAGGCCTCTGGGGGGCCTCTTGGGCCGTCTTGGGCCGTCTTGGACTCTCTTGGGCCGTTTTGGAGGCCGTCTTGGACCATCTCGGGCGGACTTGGAGGCCATCTTGGGCCATCTTCGCGATTTTTTGAGGATGTCCCGAGCGAAACGGCCGTTTTTGGGCATTGACAGATGGGTTTTATGAGATTTACGGGTGGCCGGCGGGACGGGCCGAAGCCCACTGGGGAGTTCTTTTAGAAAAAGAACCAAAACCAAAACCTGAATCGTCCAGCACGCCGTGCACCCCTGCAAGCAGGGGGCGGCGGATCGAATGGCTTTCGGCCCATCCCGCCACCGTGCCTGGGCTGTGGGTGTGTACCTATTCGATGTTCGTTGGGATCTCGTGGGAGGCCTCTCGGGGGCCTCTTGGAGGCAGTTTCGACACCTCTTGGGGGGCCCGTCTTTGAGGGCCTCTTGGCGGCTCTTTGGGGCCTCTTGGGGGCCTCGTGGGGCCTCTTGAGGCCTCTTGGTGGCCTCGCCAGGCCCCTGGAACGTTAAAGAATTACTCGGGATGAATAACTGGCCTGGAGGACAGTGTCGGGACTTCGGCGGACGTGGCTCCAGAGGCTTGGACCCCTTGCCCTGGGACCAGCTTTTCGTCGGGAGGGGGGGGGGGGGGGACAGGCCTCCGCCCAAGGCCGAAGTAGAGGGGGGTGGGGGGGGAGAGGGGGAGGGTTTCTCAGAAGCACCCCTGCTTCTTAGAAGGCGCTTGCCGTGGCTGTAGATGCAAGGCCGGCGCCTTCTGAGAAGCAGCCTGCTCCTAAGAAGCCTTCCTCTCTCCCCCCATGCCCCCCTCTGCGCGCCGCCGAATCTGTCCTGGGGCGCGCTCTGACCAGAATCTCGAGGCGGATCCAGCCGTGGCGACGAGAAGCCCCCCCCCCCCCCCGGGAGGCCCACAACAGCGGCGGAGAGCGCCCCAGGAGCGCTCGAGCCTCCCACTCCCAGGGATGAGGGGAGGAGGAAGGGAGGGAGGAGGCGAGGAGGAGGCGGAGGAGGCGGAGGAGGAGGTGGAAGGGGGAAGGGGAGGAGAGGAGGAGGAGGAGGAGGAGGAGGAGGAGGAGGAGGAGGAGGAGGAGGAGAGGAGGGAGGTGGAGGGGGAGGAGGAGGACGAAAGGAGGAGGAGGAGAGGAGGAGAGGAGGAGGAGGAGGAGGAGAGGAGGAGGGAGAGGAGGGGGAGGAGGAGGAGGAGGAGGAGGAGGAGGAGGAGGAGGAGGAAGGAGGAGGAGGAAAGAGGAGGAGGAGGAGGAGGAGGAGGGCCCCCCCGTGGCCGTTTCTGGTTCGAGGGGCACGCCCAGCCCAGGGGGGCCGCCACTCCGGCGCATACACGCGCATGCTGAGGCCGCAGGCCCCCGGGGAGGCCGGGCAGCCCCGCCTGGACAGCCGCGCGGAGGCCATCGAGTCCGACAGGTCAAGCAGTGGCAAAGCGTCTGAGCTCGCCTACGGGCCTCCCGAAACAAGAATGTTCTAAGAATCTGTTGTGGTCTGCACGAAATGTGCTCAGAATATTTCTGGCTGGGACTGTCTTGTGCTAACACGTCGGGCTACGTTCTAAGAACACTGTCTTTGTTATGAGAACATGCTTGGGTTCTAAGAACATGTCGTGGTAGGCCTGTAGAACTGCCGGGCCGGTCGGTCCCTGCTCGAACAGGGCCACCGCGAGCAGCAGCCAGGGCAGGCGCTCCGACGACATCGGCCTCTCCAGCTCGGGGGCGTCCGAGAGGGATACGGGCGGAGAGGCGCCGCGACTGGATCTCCCCAGAGGTCCGACGCTCTCCAAGAAAAAAGATTGGAACGGCGGGATCTCTGGGCAGTCTTGGGGCCTCCGGGGGCCCTCGCCGGGCCTCGGGGACGTCAAAGAGCAGCTGCAGGGCGAAGAACCCGCCCCGGGGAGGTGGTCTGGACCCCCGGGGCCCACGCATCGAGAACAGAGCGGAGCCGCGGGAGGTCTGGGCCCGCGTCGGAGCTTCGAAGGTCGAGCGCGCCCGGGAACAGGCCCAGGGGGTGACCTCTGACCCCGGAGCCCTGACGTCCCCGCGCGTCCCTGAAAGGATCGCGACGGGAGGTGCTCTCGGCCGCGTTTCTGGCCTCGCGAGGCGCCCTCACCAGGCCCCGGGGCTCTGCGCAGAAGGCTGCTCGGGATGGGGAGCTGGTCTTGGAGAGACGGGGCCAAGACCTCCGGGGGTCCCGTACGTCGCGAAAGGTCACTGCGTCGGAGTTTGGGGTCCCCCTCGGGGAGGAGGGAGGAGGAGGAGGAGGAGGAGGAGGAGGAGGAGGAGGAGGAGGAGGAGGAGGAGGAGCGGGAGGAGGAGGAGGAGGAGGAGGAGGAGGAGGAGGGGGAGGAGGAGGAGGAAGGGGGGAAGTGTTCGTCGGTTCTCGGGGGCTTCTCGCCTCGGGGTGCTTCCCAGCGGCTGCGCTTCGTCGAGAACTTTTTCCCAGGGGCACCTGGTGATCGTCCAGATCAGGCGCCGAGGTCTCCCAGATTACGTGGCCTGTTATTCTTCTTATTAGTAGTATTAGTATTATTATGTTATTATTATTATTATTACGATTAGTATTTTTATTATAGTATTATTATTATTATTATTATTATTATTATTATTATTATTAGTATTATTATTAGTAGTAGTAGTAGTAGTAGTAGTAGTAGTAGTAATAGTAGTAGTAGTAGTAGTAGTAGTAGTAGTAGTAGTAGTGGTGGTGGTGGTGGTTGGTGGTGGTGGTGGTGGTGGTGGTGGTGGTGGTGGTGGTGGTGGTGGTGGTGGTAGGTGGTGGTGGTAGTCGTAGTAGGAGTAGTAGTAGTCGTAGTAGAGTAGTAGTAGTAGTAGTAGTAGTAGTAGTAGTATTAGTAGTATTATTTATCATTGTTAATAGTATTATTATTATTAGTAGTATTGCTGTTGTTATTAGTAGTAGTAGTAGTATTATCATTATGTTTAATATTATTGTTCTTATTGTTAGGTTTATTATTAATAGTAGTATTACTATTACTTTGATTAGTACTATTATTATTATCATTATTTATTATTAGTATTATTAGTACTCTTATCATTAGTAGTATTATTATTAGTTTTATTACTAGTACGTGTTTTAGTATTAGTAGTATTCGTATTATTTTTGGTACTACTACTACTACTACTACTACTACTACTACTACTACAACCACCACTACTACTACTACTACTACTACTACTACTACTACTACTACTACTACTACTACTACTACTACTACTACTACTACTACTACTACTACTACTACTACTATGCGTATTATTCTAATAATTACTTACATTATTACTATGTTTAACTTATGATCCGTTTCCTTCTCAGTATTCCTCTTAGTCGTATTCTTAGTATCAGTATGATTATTATGTTATTATTCTTCAAGGCGTCCCCTGCCCCACCTCCCTCTTCAGCGCAAGTGCCTCGCTCCATGACGCGCTAATCCCCCCTTTGGTCCCTCTTCGGCGCACCCGATCCAGCGCCGCCGCATCCGACGCGATCGCGAGCACCACGGAGGAGACGGTGTCCTCGTGCAGCAGCAGCAGCAGCGAGGAACAGGACCTCGGGTGTCGACATAGTTACCCCAGACGTTTCGGCATCGTGCGTCTGCTCGGTGCATGCGCCACCAAAACGGGTACCCAGTGACAGGTACTTCGGCAGCACGCGAGAAGGCGGCAGGAAAGCTCCACCATCGCACGGGATGGCGCAGGCAACTTGCAGGAAGCACCATCTTCTTGCATCGATCCAAGTCCTCGTCTACAGAGCACCCATCACGAAGCTGCCGAGGGTGGACCCTGGGAGGGGTGAGGGGACCGGTTCTGAGCGGCTTTGGGCCGCAAGGACCCAGACTTCTAACGCCGTGTTTCCTTGTTCAATGCCGACGGCTTTCTCTTTCTCTCGGCCCTGGGCGCCGGGGGCCATCAGCGATTTTTCCAGCCCGGGGGCCGGGACTTCTGAGGGGGCACCGCGCTACCAGGAATCGAGGCATCGGACGTCTGGAGGAGGAGGAAGAGGAGGAGGAGGAGGAAGAGGAGGAGGAGGAGGAGGAGAGCCGTTCTGGGCTCTTCCCGTTTCTTCCAGAGGGGAAGGGGGGTCCTTGCACGTACGTACTTCACAGCGGCACGTGCGTGCGTGCCAATATGGCAAAGAGCAGCAGTTATTCCGTACATTGTGTGGCTCGCGCGATGGCCAAGCCGCCCCCGTGGGCCGCGCCCTCCCGCGGGGCGCGCGGCGACGGCGGTGCGGCGTCCGCGGCTGGGTGCTTCCTGGCCCCAGGCAGCCGCTGTGGGGCTGCCGCTGCGGCGAGGCGGCCAACTGGGCCAGCCGCCTCCACTGCAGCGGCTGCGGCGGAGCGGCTCCAGCGGCGGTACGCCAGAGGGCCGTGGCGGCCGCCGCTGGGCCGCCGCCCGAAGCCGCTGGCCCGCCGACCAAGCCCAGGGCCTCGGGCAGGGCCAAGGCCAGGGCGGGCGCGGCCAAGTCTGGGCCATGCGCTGGCGAAGGAGGCTGGGTGCACGGGGGCGGCAAGCCCAGGCGCGTCCGCTTCCGCGAGCCCGCCGAGGAGGTCGTTGAGGTCGCCGACGAGGCCGACGACAGACTGGCGTCGGCGGTCGAGCTTTTGGCGGCGCGTGGGCTCACGTTTGACGACGACGCCAGGAGAAAGCTGGGGCTGGAGGTGGCGGCTGACAAGGCGGCCGCCGCTGCGGCCCCGAAGACGCACCATGCGGCGGGGCAGTCGGCCATGTGGAAGGTCAAGAACGCGGCCACCAAGCTGGACCGTGCCCAGAAGGGGCTCGACGCGGCGAACGAGCTCCTGGCGGACGCGCAGAAGGCGCTGGAGGCGGCCGAAGGTGCTCGCGACGCGGCGTCGGCGGCCCATGACGAGGCCAAGGCGCAGCTGGAGCGGGCGCGCCGCGCCGAGCAGGCGGGCTTACCGCCGGCAGCGGCACACCAGGAGCAGCAGCGGTCAGCCGACGTGGACATCCTGGCGCAGGCGACGCTGGGGGCCCAGTACGCTGCGGAGCTCAAGGGCGAGTTCGACGGCGAGGAGGCGGTGCAGCTTAACCAGGTGGTGGAGCTGCTCAGCAAGCTCGCGGCAGTCACCAAGGCTCGCCTTTGCGAGGCTGCCAAGCAGGAGACCGCGAAGCCTGGGCCCGGCGCAACTGCGGTTCCTGCTGCTGCTGTGGCCGCTGCAGCTGGCGGCGGCGGCGAGGCAGACGCCGACATGGAGGACGCAGAGTTCAACTCCAGGATGGCAGCCCTCGATGCGGCCAAGCGGACCGAGATCGAGCAGTTCCTGTAGAAGTACTGCCGTTCCCTGCCGAAGCGGCTGCGCTTCCCAGGACGGGCAGGGGAGGGCGCGGGAGCCGCGGCGGCAGCAGAAGCAGTCAAAGCAGGCAAGGACGACGACGAGCTGCGAGGGGGCAGCTGCCCAGAGGCTCCGCCAGAGCCTGCGAGCGGGCGGATCCTGGAGGCTGGACACGGCCAACACCACCTCCTGGACGAGCATGATGCGCTGGCTGCAGGAGGAGACCGACGGGGACATCCTCTTCCCCCAGGACACGGGGGTGGCGCCTGGCGCCAGGGCGGAGGTCGAGCAGGCCTGCCGCCGAGAAGGCTGGAGGTCTCCCTCACGGAGGCCAGACGCACGGAGCGCGGTGGGCCGTCCTGCGGCATGGGCATTGCTTGCCGCGCACTCCTCGGCATGGACTGGCCGCCTGCTGGGCCGCCTCTGCCGTCTGACCGTATGATCGCGCGCTGGATCAACGCTGCGGTGCCAGGAGGCTTCCTCGCGGCGTCGATCTACCTGGCGGCGGCCACAGGGCTCGACCCCGAAAGCAGGGCACTCCTGGCGCAGTTGGGCCAGCACCTGAGGCGGCGCGCGCCCCGTACATCATCGGCGGCGACTGGAACTGCACGCCGCGCGGGCTAGAGGCGCGGGCCTGGCCTGACCGCGTCTCAGGTTTCGCAGTCAGCTCGGGCTCGACGACCTGCAGAGTGGGAGGCGGCTCGGAGGTCGACTTCTACGCGGTGTCGAGCAACCTTGGGGCCGCGGCCAAGGGGTCCGCGCGGCTGGACAGCCCCCTGAGCCCGCACTATCCAGCGCGCGTTTTGCTGCACGGGGAAAAGGTTCGGGAGACGGCGCTGCGCCGCAAGGCGCCCCGCGCCTTCCCCGCTGATAGGCCTGCGGGGCCGAGAAGGAGGCCGCCGCGTTGGCAGGGCCTGCTGCGCGATCTGGCTGGCGCGATTGGCGCCAGGGCTGCCAGGGCTTCCCCGGGTCGAGAGCCCAAGGCGCATGTCGAGGAGCGCGCCCACTCAACCGCGGGGCCACCGACGGGCGGAGGAACCCCGACGCTTGAGGCCTGCACTCTGGGGCCCCCGACGAGGGCTGGTCGACGCCCCCAGGGATGCCGCAGGGAGCTGCCTCGGGGTGCGCCGGAGGAGATCGACCGGCGGAGCCACCGACGGGCGCGCTGGAGGACGGGTTCGGCGACTACCCTGGAGCTGGGGCTTCAGCGGGTCGAGAACTTACGGCGCACGTCGAGGAGCGCGCCCACTCAACCGCGGGGCCACCGACGGGCGGAGGAACCCCGACGCTTGAGGCCTGCACTCTGGGGCCCCCGACGAGGGCTGGTCGACGCCCCCAGGGATGCCGCGGGGAGCTGCCTCGGGGTGCGCCGGAGGAGAGCGACCCGCTGCGCCCCCGACTAGCGCGCTGGAGGACAGGTTCGGCGACCACCCTGGATGCCGCCACGGACCGAAGGGGCACGTCGTGGGCCAGGCGACCCGCGAGGGAAGCCAGGCCGCGGGGCGCGCTGGAGGAATGTCGGCAGGCTGGACTGGCGAGCAGGCACCGGAGGGCTCGCGAACTTCGATTGCCACGCGTGGGCCGAGTTCATCGGGTGCGGCTTCCCACTTGACCCAGCCGATTTTAAGCTGCTTGGGACCAGCCTACAGGCCGCCGGCGGGAGCCAGCGAGGCTGCGCTCAACAGCGTGCGAGAGCACTTGGACGACGACTGGAATGCAATGGTCTCGGGGCTCTTCGGCAACGTCACGGAGTATGCAGAGGTTATCGGCGTCGAACTGGTGCCCACGTGGTCTCGGGAGCCCTTGTCAGCTGGCATGGAGGGGAGCGCCTCCGCCCCGCCTGAGAGCGTCGGCTCAGAGGCGGCGGCCAGCGCCGATGAGCGTAGCCCTCAGGCTAACAAGGGGGATTTCGTAGCCAGGTTTACCGATGATGGTACCTGAGTGGCTTGGGATGGCTATCGCATAGTGGACCGAGGGGTTGGCGGAAATCAGTCTAGGCACAAGGGTGCCGAGGCGGGGCAATCACAGTGGTCACGCGTTCTCCAGGGCGCGCGCCCCCCCACCGATACTCTGGACGAGCTCTACGAGCGCTCCGCTGGATTGCTGGAGGAGGACGTCGGGGGCCTCTTTGATTGGCAGGAGGAGGAACGCGCTCTACACGTTGGTCGGGGCGCCCAGCCCAGCTTCATGGAGCAGGCGGTCAGCGTCGCGCGGCGAGGAGGGCGCGCCAGTGGATGCCCGCAGGCGCAGGCGTGGCACAGGATTGCCACGACGTGCTGGGAGCTGCTGGCCAGCAGGAGGAGGTCGAGGATGCCCCACCTCATCCCGCGGGAGCTCGCCGCCCAGGCCTTTCTGCAGGCCAAGCTGGGGGGGCTGGCCAATCTGGACTTCGCGGGGGAACATCGGCCTAGAGGAGGTGGAACCGCTTGGAGGACCTGCTGAAAACGCAACAAAAGATGCCCTGGCAAATTTTGAAAATTTGCCTGAGCGCCGTTTCACGGCTTTTCTTAGCCACGGCGAAGCCAAGGCGCTAAGGCAGAAGGACTTGGCGAAGCAGCCCCGCCCGGTCGGGGCGCCGACCTACAGCGAGCCACAATCCCTAGAGGGCCACGCGCGCCAGGCAGCCCAGGCCTTCGACCAGCGAGCGGCCAAGGCCCGCACCAAGGCCTGGCGCGAGTGGGCGCGAGCTGCAGTACGAGATGGAGGAGGAGCAGCCCACGGTGTCTGCCGAGCCCCCATGGGCTGGACAGCGGGCACGGCTGAGAATGAGCAGCCAGCTGGCATCGCAGGCACGCTTCGGGCGCTCACCGCGGAGCACCAGCAGGCGCGGCAGCGTGGCCAGGAGAGCTTCGACGTCGAGGAGCTGCTGCCAGAGGAGATGCTGGAGGAGGCGCCGCCACCGCCGACGCCGCAGGACATCCTGGACGCCGCGAGCTCCTTCAAGAAGAGCACTGCCGCGGGGGTCGACAGCCTGAAGCCGCACCACTCCGGCTGGTTTTCGGATGAGGGAATCCTGGCGCTGTGCTTGCTGCTGCACCTCATCGAGATGGAGGCCAGGTTCCCCGAGCAGATCGCGGAGATGTTCATCTTCTTCCCGAGATCCTGAGCTCGGAGGTGGAATCTGCTCGTCGGGTCGAGAGCAGGCCGAGGCGTTGGCAGTTCAGGTACGTCAGGGCCACTAAGAACGTGGGCGTGGACTTCGCGATGTCCAAGAAGGCCACCTGGCGCGTGCTTCGACAGAGGATCAACCGCCTCAGGCAGCGCGCTCGCCGCTACATGGCCCTGAGGAAGGCGGGGGCTAGGCGGCTCCCCCAGGTGTTCAGGACCGGCGGCTTGGCCTCGACCCTGCACGGCGCCAGAGTCAGCGGGGTTCTTACGCAAGGACTCCGACGCGCTCGAGCTGTGAACGGCAGGGTGCTGACGGGCGAGATAGGCAGCAAGTCGCGGACGGTGCTCTTCGCCTTACAGGAGGGACGCGCCTAGAAGCACGACCCCGCTTACGCGGCGCACGAGCGCCCTTTCAGGGCGTGGGCGAAGGCAGTCTTCATGGGATACAGGCCGGCAGCGGCGTTCAGGAAGGTGCTGGAGGTGAAGCCAGCTAGTTGGGGAGAGGTCACAGGGCCTGGTGGGGCGGTCAGCCTCTCGCTGGAGCGACTGGGCTGGAGGTGCAGAGCGCGGAACTGCTGGGAGGGCGAGCGCGGGCACATCTTGGACCTGCTGACCCCCAGTCCGCGCACGATCGCCAGCCTGGTGGAGGCGGGGGCGCACAGATACCTCATGAGGCAGGTGGCCAAGCACGACGGCTTCGAGCAGCTCAGCTCGACGGGCAGCCGCCAGACCTGGAGCCCTTCCGCGCGGCGCCGGCGAACCTCCGCCGCGACGGCAAGCGCGAGGAGGCCGCGCTGCTGGAGGCCCACATAGCAGGAGGACTTGTGACGCAGAGCCAGCTCCACGAGGAGAGGGTGGTGATCAGCCCGCTCTGCCAGTGGTGTGAGGAGGCGCCAGGCACGGCGCACCACCGCCTTTTCGCTTGCCCAGCGATTTCGATTTGGACGACGGAGCTGGGCTACCCGCGCGCGGCGGCCGCTGGGAAGCAAGCCGCAGAGGAGAACATCGGGATGACGAGGGGCCTCATCAACCTTGGGCTGGACCAGGCGCCCGCGCCGAGCTTGGAGGAGCTCTGCAACAGAGAAGGGACCGCGCGGCACGACTTCTTCAGCGGGGTGATCTGCATTGACGGCTCGGCGGCACACCCAGAGGCGCCATCATGGCGGATGGCGTGGGGGCGCCGCTGGGAGGCATGTACGGCTGCACGCCTGGGTGGATCCAGGAGATAGGCTACGCCGAGCTGCACGCCGTATACCGCGTGCTGCGGGAAGTTGGCCCAGAGCCCGTGGTCATCTTCACGGACTGCGAGGGCGTCAGGGACAACTTCCAGCTGGGGCCAGAGCACTGCTGCGGGCCCGACCACAAGTATGCCGACATGTGGAAGAGGGTCTTCAGCCTGGTGGCCGAGATCGGGTCCGAGGCCGTGGACCTGCGCTGGATGAAGGCCCACACCAGCTGGGCCGAGGCGAGCAGGCGCGGTATCTCGCTGCAGGCGTTCGCGGGGAACCGCGAGGCGGACGCCAAGGCGAAGCTGGGCGCGCAGCTCCACCGAGGCCAGGAGCGGCTTGCCGAGCTGGCGGACCGCTAGAGTGAGGCCTCGGCGCAGGCGGCAGCCTGGTGCGGCCACCACGGGGGGGGTCCTAAAAAGGATGGCCGACCTGGGGTGGCCTGACAGGAGCCCCCTCCCTGGTCCTCGGGTTCGGGACCCCGAAGCGCTGGTTTTGGTTCGGCCCGACAGGGGCCACAGCGTGTGCAGGCTCGGTCGAGCTTGGGGGTGTTCGATCTGCGGGGTCCGCAGGTCCCAGAGGGCCAGAGTCGTTTCAAAGTGCTGTCCAGGACTCCCCCAGATGGTAGCCCTGCCCCACCCATCCCATAGGCTGTGGGTGATTCAGGGGGGGGCGGACGGCTTGGGACCCTATAGGATGGGGGGGACTCCACGATAGCATTATGTAGGACTTGCGGGGTCGATGGGAGGAGGCAGGCACATTTGTTGCTTGGAGCGTGTGTGCCGCTTGCCCAGCGCAGCCGTGATGCTGCGAGGCTCGCGCGTAGGTGCCTGGAGAAGCTCCGAGCAGAACGAGAGCCCCAAAGTGGACGCCCCTTCCCAGTGTCTCGGGCAGCAACCGGGCTTTAAGGTTTTAGAACTCCAAGGCCCCGCCCGCGCCAGGGCTCTTCCCTTCTTTCATGGCGGGCCGAGGGCTTCCTGGTGTGTTTTCGATCCCCGTTTGGAGGGGTGGCAGGTTTGCGAAGCGGACCGCCTCTTTTCAGGAACCAGAGGAAAGAGAGGAGGAGGAGGAGGGGGAGGAGGAGGAGGAGGAGGAGGAGAGGAGGACGAGAGGAAGGAGGAGGAGGAGGAGGAGGAGGAGGAGGAGGAGGAGGAGGAGGGGGAGGAGGGGGAAGGATGGGGGGAGGAGGAGGAGGAGGAGGAGGAGGAGGAGGAGGGAGGAGGAGGAGGAGGACGAGAAGGAGGAGGAGGAGGAGGAGGAGGAGGAGGACGAGGAGGAGGAGGAGGAGGAGAGGTGAGTCGCGCAAGCAACAACGGGTGGGGCTCCGCCGCGCGGACGGTCGCGCGCGGGCTGCCTGCGCGAGCGATCGCGCGCGAGCGGCCCCCCGTCTCCGCGGGGTGTGCCGCGCCGGCGGCCCGCGCGGGCTGCCGCGTGACGGTCGCTCCGCCCCTCTTGCGCACGGCATCCCCCGACGCCGCCGACGGCGACGACGACGACGACGACGCCGACGGCGACGACGGCGGCGACGACGACGACGACGACGACGGCGGCGGCGACGGCGGCGGCGACGACGACGACGACGACGACGACGACGACGACGACGACGACGACTGCGACGACGACGACGCCGACGCCGACGACGCCGACGACGCCGACGACGCCGACGACGCCGACGCCTACTCCGACGACGCCGACGACGACGACGACGCCGTTCCCAGGCCAGACGTCCGACGATGTGACAGCCTCAGTCCGCGGGGCCGCCGAGGCCGCAAATCCCTTTTCGCCGGGGGGGGCAGCGCGTCGCTGGGCGCCCACCGGAGCAGAGAAAATACCGCAGAAACAGGATGGTTCGGCGCTCCGCGCGAATGTCTTTAGCCCATCGAAGACGAAGAGGCGGCGTGAACACACAGTGGAGACCCATGCCAAGAAACACCCTTCTCGCCTCCAGGGAGCCCTTGGTTTCTTGGGTTGCGATGGTCTTGCGATGGCGAGCGTGGCGTGCCCACACCAAAAATCGGTGCACGTCCTGGGCTCTCAGGGTTGGGTCTCTTGTGGGAGGTCTGTTGTGGTCGGGCCCCTGCCGTGTTTTCTCCGAGGCGGCCTCCAGAGGCCGAAGTCGGGGGGAACTGCCTGGACTGGACGCGCCAACCCGCCGGACGTCGGGACGGCAGGCCACCTTGGAGCCCATTAGAGGGCGTCCCATCGGGGCCCCGCCCTCCCCCCAGAGATCCGAGGTCTTGGTGCCTTCAACACGGGGTCGGGTGTCCGGGGCCCCTCCCTCCCCCAGGTGACACTTCGGTCGAGTGCACCCAGAAGTTCGTGAGATCTCCGTGTGCCTACAGAGTGGCACGCCTGTCTCTCGGATTCGACGAAAAAATGGGGCAGACCTGTTCCCGGCCCTCTTCCCAAGGGCCGGCCTGTCACCCCGAGCTGTTTTTGGACGGTCCCAGGGCCTGGAGAGGGCCCCTGGACGCCGAGAACGGCGGAAGAAGACCTTCCGTGGGCCGTCCCCCTCCGACAGAGGACTTGCTGGACCGCGACGCCGACCAGCGGCACCGCGTGGAGCAGCGCCGGCGGCTGCTTTGCGAGGCGCGCGCGCCGCCGCTGCCACCGTCGCCGCCGCCCCCCTCGCGGTCGCGCTCGTCTCTTCAGCACGTCGGGGCCCGAGGGGAGGGAACCGAGGTTCGAGGCACGCAGAGGCGTGGTAGAATGGCAAGTGCGGTCTGGCATCATGCTTGGATGGCACCCGTTTGGCCGAATCGCTTCGTCAAGAATTGCGAGGACAAGGGCTACATTGACAAGGGATCGCGAAGCAAATCCGGATGATCTTGGGCAATACCTGCGCGCCGCCACGCGAGGTTCTAAGGCGTAGGCTCTCAGATCGAAGATCGAGGCTCTGAGGTCGAGGTCTTCAGGCGTCCTTGGGAGGCCTCCCGGGGGGGGCGCCCTCGCGGCTGCGGCCGGATTTTCCCGTCGAGATCCTGGTCAGAACGCACCCCCCACAGGACACCCGAGCCAAGTCCCCATTCGCGCCGTGAACACAAACACGACGGGATGTTTGGGGAGTTTTCCCCATCCCCCCGCGCGGCCGCCCTCGTCTTTTTCCTCCCCCATTGCATGCCAGACAATTAGCCTTTCGGTTGCCCCGAATATCGGCACAAACGAAATGGGTACGGAAAGAATGGGCACAATGCCCAACAGCAGTTCCTGTTCATTTTGAACAGGACTCGCTGTCCACGCCGCCGCGGCCTGTGTCCATTCAAAACAGAAGACCGCCTGCCCAACAGCGGCCGCTGTTGGTCTGGGACAACACCTGTTGTTGGGCATTGTACCCATTCTTTCCGTACCCATTTCGGGCGTCCACAGAATACAGGCCTCGGAAAAAAATAGGGAACACATGCCACATTCATCTGTCAACGCCTCCCCCTCCCCCCAATGTTCAAAGTTGGCGGTGGGTCTGATGAGTTGCACCTCGACCGCAGTCTCCCCCGCGCGTGCCAGCTTTGAGTCTGGGTGGGAGGGGGGGGTGTTCACTACTTGTTTCCCTCTACCGTAGCCACACGCTGGAGCGGATTGCCCCTGCCTCGCCGCCGACGAAAAGAAGGGGTTTGGGTAAATTTTCAGCCTCCAGGGGCCCTCACCGGCCCCCAGGGGCCGTCCAGGAACGACTCGGGATGAGAAGTCGGTCCCCGGGAAGGGGTCCAAACCTGCGGGGGGGGGGGGGGGGCCACGTTGCGAAAAGATCACGGCGTCGGATGTCTGGGTCCCGCTTGTCGATTTACCCGATCGAGGAGAGACGACCACGACCACGACCACGACCACGACGACCACGACCACAACCACGACTACGACCACGACCACGACGACCACGGCGACGACCACGGCGACGACCACGACCACGACCACGACCACGACCATGGCCACGACCACGACCACGACCACGACCACGACGACCACGACCACAACCACCAGTACGACCACGACCACGACGACCACGGCGACGACCACGGCCGCGGCCACGGCCATGACCACGACCACGACCACGACGACGATCATGAGCTGCGGAATGGAGACAGAGAAAGCGGGGGGAGGAAGGACGAGGATTATAGGCATCGGCCACAACGCCGTTTGGGGCCATCATTTTTGGACAGGCCTCCTGTCGAACCCGTTTTCGCTTGTTCTCACTCTGCAGACTTCTGGGGACCGATCGCGGCTCCAGGGGCGCACCACACGCGATGGCCTGGGGAGCCTCCCGGACTGCCTCCGCTTTGACGCGCGCACGCAGACCTTCTGTCGTGGTCTGCCTGGGAGGCGCCCCCCACTGGCGGCCTGTCGGCGCCGCCGTGCCGTCGTGATGTCGGCGTTGGCGTCCCCTGAGATCCGACGGCGCGAGGCCACCGCAGCATCGGAAAAATCGTGGCCGGGGCCCGGGGACGCCATCTTCCCGCGCCAGGCTCTCGAGCCGCGTTGGTCTCTGCGGGTCCCCGGGCCCGCATCTGGGCGAACGCGCCCGGCTCGAAAGAGCGGAGGCGCCTCTGGGTCTCGAGGGAGCTCGAGACGGCGTCCAGGGGGTCCACGCCGTGAGCAAGAGCCACGGCGTCGGGGGACTGGGAACCTCGCCGCGCCGCCAGATCTCAGAGATTCTCGATTCAGCCTCGCCCAAATGGATCCTCGTCCTGGCTTCGTTGGGAAAAATCGCGAGGAGTGATTTTGCCCGTTTCCGGCCTGTGGGACCCCTCGCCAGGACCGTTACAAAATTGCTCGGGGTGAAACTGGCCTTGGGGAAAGTGTCCGGACTTCGGGGGACGTGGCTCCCCAGAGGCCTGGACCCCCTCCCGCGGGGACCGGCTTTTCGTCGGGGGGGCCGTTTTTGTTGACGGCCCTGGGGGCCCGGCCCGGGCGCCCAGAGGCCGAGAGCGGCCAAAGACCTTGCGTCGAGATGCTCGTCGCGACGCGAGGATTTCACGGTCCAGGGGTCGAGAAGTGGACCCCTGGACTTGTGCTGGGGGCGCGCTCTGACCAGAACCTCGAGGCGGATCTGGCCGCGGGCGGCGACGAGGACCCCCCCCCCCCCGACGCCCAGACAGAGGACAGAAGACGCACACGAAGGATCGAACCTTCGAGCTCCGAACCTTCGAGCTCCGAAGCCTTCGGGGCGCTCCGACTCTGTCGAGGCGCCGGCGCCGTCGAGGCCGCGCCAGTCGTGGCCGGTGGGCAGCGTCGCGCCGCCGAGGTGCACAGGCGCCGGCTGCGCGCCTGCGAGGGCGAGGCGACGGGCGCGCTCGCCGACGTGGCCGCGGCGCTGCGCTGCGGCAGGCGCTCAGGCGCGGGCACCACGGCGCCCCAAGAGTTCGGGTAGGGGGCCGCCTGCAGCACTGATGCACCCCAGGATGTTTCGGCGGCGAGCCTTCGAGAAGGAGAAGGCCTTCTCCTCCTCCTCCTCCTCCTCCTCCTCCTCCTGCTCCCCCTCCTCCTCCTCCCTCTCCTCCTCCTCCTCCTCCGAGCCCAGCGGGGGGAAACGAGGAGGAGAAGGCCTTCTCAGAAGGCGGCGGGACTTCTCAGAATTCCCTCGCGCCTTCGGAGGAGTTTCCTGTGTCTCCAGGGCAGGCTCAGGGAACTTCTCAGAAGGCCCGGGGACTTCCGAGCCTTCTGAGAAGGCCCGCCCCCTTCTCACTTCCCCCCCCCGCTCGCCGGCGAGTGTTATTTTCGTCAACTCCACGAAAGATGTGCAGAATGCTCCGTAGATCTGCGGAGAACTCTGCGCATTGGTGCGCAGCTTCGACGGGAAAAAGCAAGTGTTTGGTAAGTCATGGCTGCAGTCGAACTCCTGCTCGAAGAGTGCCTGCCCCTCTTTCCCTTCGGGGTTTTGAGTTGTCCAGGTTCGAAGGTTTTTGGGGTGCTTGTTCACCGCTTCTGGGCCTCCTGTGGGGCGTCTCGTCGTCATGGCTGGATCCGCCCTGAAGCTCTGGTCAGAACGCGCACCCCAGGACAGGTCCAGGGGTCGGCTTCCCTGGCATCCCCGGATCTCCGACTTCTATCTGATTTGCTCGATCCATGGAGGAAGAGTGTCTCCGAGGTCCGCAAAGATTTCTTGAATCGGCGCTGGGCCCACCTGGCGGCGCCTCCAGCGCTGCCCCCCGGCGCGCTCCGCGCGCCAGGGACGGGGGGGCCCAGCGCCGATCCAAGAAATCCGCGCGAATCCAGAAGATCCGCGCGGAGCTCCGAGAGGGCCTGCCCACAGCCCCAGATATCCCCAGACATCAATCAGGAGCGAAAGCAGGACGTACACGTACATGAATCCACATTGGTTTCGAGAGTACACATTGCGAGAGCGTTCAAATCACGCGGCTGGTCTCGCGGATTCGGGGGCCGTGTTCATGTACACGGTTGGGCGCGCACTTCCTTTGTGGGCTCCTTAATCGAACATCCTGGAACAATTAAGACGGGAGGTTTTTCGCAGCTTTCGGCCTCCAGTGGCTATCGCCGGCGCCCAACGACTCGAGATGAAAAACCAGCCTTGGGGAAAGAGTCGGGACTTCCGGGACTCTGGATTCAAAAACGGGAGCGTTTTTTTTATGCATTCTTTGGCCGATCGGCGCGGGCCCTCGCACCCCCCCCTCCACCACCCCCCCCGTGGAGTAGATCTTGGCTGCTTTTGGGCACCTGCTTCGAGCAGGTGGAAGGAGGGGGAGGAGAAGGAGGGGGAGGGGGAGGGGGAGGAGGAGGAGGGGGAGGAGAAGGACGGGGAGGAGGAGGAGGAGGAGGAGGAGGAGGAGGAGGAGGAGGAGGAGGGGGAGGAGGAGGAGGGGGCAGAGGCAGCACTCTTGCAAGCAGCCGCACCGCCAGGTCCGGAGTCGGCGGGGCGACCTGGCCTCCCGCCGTGGCCTCCCAGCGGGTCGCCGGATCGGCCGACGTAGCCTCCCGTGGTTTTCCGCGGCCTCCCGCGGCTTCCCACACCGTCCCGATCCGCTGTCTCTATCTCTATCCTTTTTTATCCCTACTGTATAACCCAATCCTTAATTATCCCATACACACATATCTATATATATATAGCCCTATATCCCTGCCCCCGGCCGAATTCCTATCCCGATCCTTCCATCGTGGCGCCGCATCGTGACCTCCGTCGTGACCCCCCATCGTGGCGCCCCCTTCGTAGCTGTGTCGGGCTGTCCACGGTGCCCGAGAGCGGTCCGCGGAGGCCGAAGGGGAGAAAAAACGCTTGGGTAAAAAAATGTTGGATGACAGGGGGTGTCTGGGCTCGGAGCCGTGACCATAGACCTCGCGTTCCGATCCGATCCGATATCTCGATGCGAAATTGACTGATCTTGCACTTCGGGGCATGAGTGTACAAACCCGACTTGTCTGGCCGCTGCTCTGGTGGGGGCGGGGAGGGTTGTGCTCAGGGAAGGGATGCAGCACTGCTCAGCTATGTACTGTTAACCGAGCCTGCAGGGGGGGGGGGGGGGGGTTTTTTTTTCTGAGCACTTCAGCTTTGGCTTCGGCTTCAGCCGCGACTCACTTCGAGACGTCACCCGAGTCGGCTGTCCCCTCGCACGGGTGCTTCCCTCGTTCATATCCATGTTCACCACTTCCCCAGGGAACACGGGCAGGACTCACCTGCTGTGGATACAGCAGGCCCATCAAATAAGGAATGTGTCTGCCAACGGGCGGCCCACGTAGATTCCTTCTCCCCCGATCGCCCCGTAAGCTCCAGGACACCCTTGAACCTCAAAGATCGACTAGGAGTGCGCCCCAAGGCCCCAAAATTTCTGATGGCGAACAGTCGGGCCGCTGAAGAGGGAACCCTTTTCGTTAGGCAGGGGCCCGGTGTTTCTGAGTTGCTTTACAGTTGTTCTTGTGTGTTCCTTAGGTCTTCGATGGGGAATCGAAGTTCCATGTATAGGCTCTTGCGACAGCGTTTCGACCGTGTCGCATGTGAACGCAGCATCGGATTGGGGCGTCATTCGGGCGCGTGCAGGCCCCGAGAAGCCGGAGGGCGAGCTCGTCGAGTCCTCGTCTTCGCTGGGGCGCTGGTCGCGCGGTGCGGGCCCCGAGAGGCCGGAGGGCGAGTTCGCCGAGTCCTCGTCTTCGGTTGGGTGCTGGTCGCGCGGTGCGGGCCCCGAGAAGCCGGAGGGCAAGTCCGCCGAGTCCTCGTCGTCGAAGATCTCGTTGTGAGCGGCTGGGGCTCTGCGCAGATGGCGCACGCGCCCACTCGGCGGGGGGGGGGGGGGGCCAGGCTGACTGGAGCTGAGGAGGTTCGGGCCTGGAGGTTTTTGGGGCTTGTCGTTCACCCGATCGGCGCCTCCGCAGGGCTCTTCCTATGTTTGACACCCGGGGGCGTGCTCCGAGCCCCAGGAGCGTCGAAAAGCTCTTCGGAGGGAAAGCTGGGGGGGCGGCAGTCTGAGGAGGAGGAGGAGGAGGAGGAGGTCCCGAGGTCCCGAGCGATGGAAGGCGCGGCCGATCGAACGAGCGCGCTCCAGCATAAGAATATGGATCCGCCGACCCCCAAGGGGGGCAGTGCGGAGGGCTGCAGCATACCTCCCAGCCGAGACGGCGGAGGCGGCCTCGAACCCGAAGCCCGCGCACGGCGTTCCTCGAGCAGCTCGAGCAGCACGGGCATGTGCTTCTCGTCGGCGGCGAGGGCAGCGCAGAGCGTCCCGTCGACGGACGGGTTCGGCGAGAGGGCCAGGAGCTGCTCGACCACTGCCGCGCAGCTGCCAGATCCCGCAGGCGGCGGGGCAGCCGCAACCGCAGCAGCAGCAGCGCCCCCCAGGGCGGGCAGCATCTCCGCAGGCGGCGCGGCCGCCAGCTCCAGTGCGTCCACCGCCATGGCCGCGCGCTCCACCGGCCGCGCACGCCGCGCCCCATCCGCCCAGCTACTGCCGAAGCTCTCGAGGTCGTCGTCGACGTCGTCCATGACGGCACCCGCCAAGCTGACAAGCGCCATGGGCGCGCCAGACCGCTCCGCCGCCACGTCCGCCGCCGCCGCCTCGCCGCGCTCCAGAGAGTGCCGTCCAGCCAGCCGCTGGCGGCGCCTGCGGCGGCGCTCGCGCTGCGCCTCCGTGGAGGCCCTAACGCGAGGGGCAGCCGCAGGCCCACCAGGCTCGCCGCCTTCATCGCCGCGCTCCCCAGCGCCAGCAGCCGCCGTCGCCGCGCGCGGCGGGCCTGCCACGGCCGCAGCCGCCGCAGACACGGCCGCGCACGCGCAACCGCGCCCAGCGCGCGCCGAGGCGCCCCAGCGCCTTGTGCCGCCCGCACCGCCGCGTCCACGAGGACGGCGGCGTCCGCAGCAGAGTTGGAACCTCTGGGCGCCGACATGGGAGCCCCCGACATCGGCAGCTGTGCGATCGCTTGAGCCAAAACGGCTACGGACGAGGAGGAGGAGGAGGAGGAGGAGGAGGAGGCGGGGGAGGAGGAGGAGGAGGAGGAGGAGGAGGAGAGGAGGAGGAGGAGGAGGAGGAGGAGGAGGAAGAGGGGGAGGAGGAGGAGGAGGAGGAGGAGGAGGAGGGAGGAGGAGGAGGAGGAGGAGGAGGATGGAGGAGAAGGAGGAGGAGGAGGAGGAGGGGGAAGGAGGGAGGGGGAGGGGGAGGGGGAGGAGGAGGAGGAGGAGGAGAGGAGGAGGAGGAGGAGGAGGAGGAGGAGGAGGGAGGAGGAGGAGGAGGAGGAGGAGGGAGGAGGAGGAGGAGGAGGAGGAGGAGGGAGGAGGAGGAGGAGGAGGAGAGGAGGGGAGGAGGAGGAGGAGGAGGAGGAGGAGGAGGAGGAGGAGGAGGAGGAGGAGGAGGAGGAGGAGGAGGAGGAGGAGGAGGAGGAGGAGGAGGAGGAGAGGAGGAGAGGGGAGGAGAGGAGGAGGGGAGGAGGAGGAAGGAGGAGGAGGAGGAGGAGGAGGAGGAGGAGGAGGAGGAGGAGGAGGAGGAGGAGGAGGAGGAGGAGGAGGAGGGGAGGAGGAGGAGGAGGAGGAGGAGGAGGAGGAGGAGGAGGAGGAGGAGGAGGAGGAGGAGGAGGAGGAGGAGGAGGAGGAGGAGGAGGGGAGGAGGAGGAGGAGGAGGGGAGGAGGGAGGAGGAGGAGGAGGAGAAAGGGAGGTTCGAACACCTTCAGTGCCCTATAGCATGGAAAAGAGGGGGTGGGCGAAAGGGGGAGGGAGCCGGGGGGAGGAGTGGGCAGGTGGATAAGGACAGGGGGAAAGGAGGACGAGATGAAGAGGAGGACGAGGCAGACATTGGGACCGGGAGAGCGCGCTCGCGGCCGATCAGCATTTCTCGGGATTCCGCCCCGCGGAGACTGCCGTGCACGGCTTCCCCGCGGCCGCTGCTAGAGTGTGGCCTCACAGCATCCACGGTCGACATACCGACTGCTCGGGGTGCGCAAGGTCAGACGTGCGCCGCCGGGCCGCCGTGCAAGGGGCAATGTGGCTTCAGAGCCCTCTCTCGCCGTGGCTGCCGCCATGCCTCCTCGCACTCACTCCTCGTGCTCCTCCTCTCCGTTCCTTCTCGCCTCCCTCGCCCTCGCACTCCTCGCGCTCTTCGTCCTCGCTCCTCGCACTCGTCGCCCGCACTCCTCGCGCTCCTCGTGATTACTCCTCGCGCTCCTCGCCCTCACTCCGTGCACTCACTACCTGGAGCCCACATCCTCTCATCTCGTACTCCTCGTCCCCACTCCTCGCACCCAAGGACTATTTTAGCAAGGGCTCCTTTACTAAGGATCACCTTGGTAAGGATTCCGCTCGTAGAGATTCCGTTCATAAGACTTCTGTAGTAAGGATTCCGATGGCGAGGGTTCTCGTAAGGATTAGTGTTGCAAAGAGTCTTTACTAAGGATTCCACGGGTAAGGGTTCCTTGGTAAGGATTCCGTTCGCGACGGTTCGTTTGGAAGGATTATGTGGGTACGGGTTAGTGGAATGAGGGTTTCTTCCGTAAGGGTCCCTGTAGCAAGGATTATTCTAGGAAGGGTGCTTGATGTAGGATTTGTCAGTGAGGATCTTTGTTTATCCAGGAGTCCTTCGGGATGAGTCCTCTACACAGGACTCTTTCAGTAAGGATCCCTGCCATAGCTGAACATGATCCCTATAGAGCTTCCTCCTCTTCCTCCTCATCATCATCATCCCTTCGCTCCTGTTCCCGTGCTCTCTTTGTCGCTGCAGCATGCGGCGTCCGCTCGCACCCAAAGGCGCCGCACATCCGCGCGTCGCCTCATGAAATCCGAAGAAGAACCAGCGGCATAAACATAGACGTTCGACGCTCCGCGCGGATTTCTTGGATCGGCGCTGGGGCCCCCCTGGCGGCGCCTCTGGCGCCGCCCCTGGCACGCTCCGCGCGCCAGGGGTGGACCCAGCGCGGATCCAAGAAATCCGCGCGGACCGTCAAAAGTTTATGCTTATGCCGTTTTGTTTTTCCTCCATGCCATGACCAACAGGGACGGGCACCAGCTCTCCCAGCGTCCAGGCCGATGCCGCTGCAGCTGGCGTACATGAGTGGCTTATGGCGGCGCGCTTCCCTCGCAGGGAGCCGCCGCACGATCTCGAAGAGGGGAGAACGGCATCAGCACACGGGGCTTCTCCAGAAAGGGCCTCGCCTGCGAGAGATCGATCGGTTGCCATCGCTTCCTCGGCGGAAGGCGGCGGAAGCCAGCGGAGAAGAGCAGGGCACCCTCCGTCGGCGGAAGCCAAGGGAAGCCGACGGAGGTGAGAGCTGCCATCCCAGGAGACGACAGCTTCGGGGGGGCCCAGGGCTCAGAAGGGACGAAAGCACACGGAGGCAAATGATCGTCGATTCCCTGGAGGATCTGGAAAATATGGGAAGTGGAGGGTGAGACGAAGGGAATCTGGAAATTAAGGGCATCTTGGGATTTGTGTGTATTTATCTGTGTCCCTGGGCCCCGTCAAGGGTGTCTGGAACCCACCGTACAGTGCCGGAGGTCCGTGCGTGTCTTCTTTGGGTTGGCGCTGGACCCCCCCCCCCCCCTTCCCTGGCGCGGCCGGGGCGGCAGCCAGGGAGGGGGCTCCAGCGCCGATCCGAGGAATCCGCGCGGGCCTTCGGGAGCTTCTGTCGGAGGCCGGCCACGCGCAGGGGGGGGGGGGCACAGTGGGGGCCCTGAAGAAGGAACCCTTTTCGTTGGGAAGGGGCTCCGCGTTCCTCAAGTGTTTCACAGCTTGCCTCAGGCTTTCCTTATGTTTTCGACAGGGAATCGAAGGTTAACTTATGGAAAAAAGGGGCCTCGTTCCTTATTTAGGGTTCCTTAGGTCAGCGTCCCGACGGTAGGGGGGAGCGGGGAAGGCTTCTCAGATGCACCCCTGGTCCTTCAGAAGGCGCGGGCCCTGTCTGCAGCAGGGCCAGCGCCTGCTCCGAAGCAGCCTCCTGCTGAGAAGACTTCCCCCCCTCCCCCCACCCCCTGGTGCGCGCCGCCAGCGGACGGGGCTGGGACGGGGAGAAATCCGTTCCAGGGCGTTCCAGAAAGTTTTCGGAGCGTTCTGGAGCGCTCTGAGAAGGCCGCGGCGCCCGGGACATTCTCCAGAGCCGCCGGATCTCGGACCGTCTCGATTCATCCTCACCCGGTGGTGTCTTCGTCCTGGCTTCGTCGTCTTACGCTGCTGCCGTTGTCGTGTTCTTCGAGCTTACTGGAATCATCTTGCTGAGGGTGCTCGCCCACGCCCGAGTGCCCTTCGGCGCCTCGAGGGCGCGGCGCTTTCCCACCAGGCGCGGCCCATTTGAGACAGGGGGCTTGTCTGCAGCACAGCGGCCGCTGCGGGTCTGGGGCAGCGGTTGGTGCTGGGAATCCTGCACACGTGGCCATACCCGTCTCGGGCGCGCCAATTCTGTTGCAACCCTGCCCACCGAAGAAGAAGAAGAAAAACGAAGAAGAAGAAAAACGAAGAAGAAGAAGAAGGAGAAGAGGAGTTTGCATAAATGTGCGGTGGTACCGTCGCTGTCAGGGTTCCGCCGCGTTTCAATGCCATCCAGTGGAGCCTGCACTGTCAGGCTGCTCGTGACATACACCCCGAGGCTGGAAAGCCTCTGGGAGCCGACGCCAGCGCGAGCCTCGAGCCTCGAGCCTCGAGGGAGCCTGGGCACACCCGGACGTCCGACGGCACGGTTCCCTCCTCGCGGTTCGCCGGAGGGTGACCGCAGAGGCCCGCAAGGGAAGGAGAGCACAGAAGAGAGAGGCCCACCGGGGAGACCAGGGGCGCCCGGGACCGCCCGCCTGCCCGAGGATGGGCCCGGTCCGGCGGCCGTTCCGCGTGAGACTGCAGCGCAGTGGGTTCAGGAGTGGCGTTCTCGCTTCGGCACCGACTGTGTGTCTGGTTTGGACGGCCATCGGGGGCGGAAAAGAGGGGGGGGATGACCAGGGGGGGGTGGACACCCCCCTCTTGGCCGCTCCCGAGGCCACGATGTCGTGTTCCAAGACGCACTGCGATGCACACGGCCCTGCTCGCACGGCCACGACCCTCTGCAGGAGGCAGGCTCAGGCGCAGGCCGTGCTCTCACGGCCACGAGCCCTTTGAGAGAACACCCAGGTGCACATGGCCGTGCGCTGACCCTCCGAATACGTAGGAATGCACGCTTCCACGAGCCGACAGTCTACTTCTCGACCCATCTCTTTACCCTTGCTGCCATTAGGGTGTTTTGCTGTGGTGCGTGTGTGTGGTGTGTGTGGTGTGTGTGTGTGACTCTGTGACTGTGTGACTGTGTGACTGTGTGTCTGTGTGTCTATGTGTCTGTGTGTCTGTGTGTCTGTGTCTCTGTGCCTCTGTGTGTCTGTGTCCGTGTGTCTCTGTGTCTCTGTGTCTCTGTGTCTCTGTGTCTCTGTGTCTGTCTTTGTGTCTGTCTCTGTGTCTGTCTCTGTGTCTGTCTCTGTGTCTGTGTCTGCCTCTGTGTCTGTCTCTGTGTCTGCCTCTGTGTCTGTCTCTGCGTCTGTCTTTGTGTCTGTGTCTGTCTCTGTGTTTATTTCTGTGTCTGTGTCTGTCTCTGTGTGTGTCTATGTGTCTCTCTCTGTCTCTGCCTCTGTGGCTGTGTCTGTGTCTGCGTCTGTGTCTGTGTCCTCGTCTGCGTCTGTGTCTGTGTCTGTGTGTCTGCGTCTGCGTCTGCGTCTCTGCGTGTCTGCGTGTCTGCGTGTCTGCGTGTCCGCGTGTCCGCGTGTCTGCGTGTCTGCGTGCCTGCGTGTCTGCGTGTCTGCGTGTCTGCGTTTCTGCGTGTCTGCGTGTCTGCGTGTCTCTGTGTCTCTGTGTCTCTGTGTCTATGTGCCTCTGCGTCGCTGTGCTTACTGTATGTGCCTCTGTGTGCGCGTGTGCGCGTGTGCGCATGTGCTTGAGTGTGCATGTGTGTGGGTGTGCGCGTGTGCGCGCGTACGCGTGTGCGCGTGTGCGCGTGTGAGCGTGCGCGCGTGCGAGCGTGTGTGCGTGCGCGCGTGCGCGCGTGTGCGCGAATGCGCGTGTGCGCGCGTGCGCGTGTGCGCGTGTGCGTGTGTGCGCGTGTGCGCGAGTGCGCGTGTGCGTGTGTGCGCGTGTGCGCGTGTGCGCGTGCGCGCGTGTGCGCGTGTGCGCGTGCGCGCGTGCGCGAGTTCGCGCGTGTGCGCGTGTGCGTGTGTGCGTGCGCGTGTGCGCGTACGCGCGTGTGCGCGCGTGTGCGCGTGTGCGCGTGTGCGCGTGTGCGCGTTTGCGCGTGTGCTCGTGTTCTCGTGTGCGCGTGTGCGCGTGTGCGCGTGTGCGTGTGTGCGTGTGTGCGTGTGTGCGTGTGTGTGCGAGTGCGTGTGTGCGTGTGTGCGCGTGTGCGTGTGTGCGTGTGTGCGTGTGTGCGTGTGTGCGTGTGTGCGTGTGTGCGCGTGTGCGCGTGTGCGTGTGTGCGTGTGTGCGTGTGTGCGTTTGTGCGTGTGTGCGTGTGTGTGTGTGCGTGTGTGTGCGTGTGCGCGTGTGTGCGTGTGCGCGTGTGTGCGTGTGTGCGTGTGTGCGTGTGTGCGTGTGTGCGTGTGCGCGTGTGTGCGTGTGTGCGTGTGTGCGTGTGTCAGTGTGTGCGTGTGTGTGCGTTGTGTGTTTGTGTGTTTGCGTTTTTACCTAACAGCTTTTGCTGATAGGTTTCTAGTGGACTCAAAAGAGAGCAGCAGATGACTCCACAGGGGGGTCCGGGCGGCATCCGGGGAGCTGTGTCCGAACTCGTGTCCGAACTCGTTTTTCGCAAACAGTCACACACTTCGTGCTCTTCGACCTCCCAGAACTCCATCCCGGGCCACAGTCTGAATGCCCGGAGCCAACTGTGACCACTTCGTGCTCTTCGACTTCCCAGAACTCCATTCCCGGGCCACATTTTGAATGCCCGGAGCCAACTGTAGGCCACTTCGTGCTCTTCGATTTCCCAGAACTCCATTCCTGGGCCACATTTTGAATGCCCGGAGCCAATTGTAGGCCACTTCGTGCTCTTCGACTTCCCAGAACACCATTCCCGGGCCACATTTTGAATGCCCGGAGCCAACGGTAGGCCACTTCGTGCTCTTCGACTTCCCAGAACACCATTCCCGGGCCACATTTTGAATGCCCGGAGCCAACCGTAGGCCACTTCGTGCTCTTCGAGTTCCCAGAACACCATTCCCGGGCCACATTTTGAATGCCCGGAGCCAACGGTAGGCCACTTCGTGCTCTTCGAGCTCCCAACCTTCATTCCCGGGCCACAGTTTGAATGCCCAGAGCCAACTGTAGGCCACTTCGTGCTCTTCGAGTTCCCAGAACTCCATTCCCGGGCCACAGTTTGAATGCCCGGAGCCAACTGAGGCTGAGGCAGGCTGCTGCTGAGGCAGGCTGAGGCTGAGGCTGAGGCAGGCTGAGGCTGAGGCAGGCTGAGGCTGAGGCTGAGGTTGAGGCTGAGGCTGAGGCAGGCTGAGGCAGACGCTGAGGCAGGCTGATGCTGAGTCAGGCTGAGGCTGAGGCTAAGGTTGAGGCTGAGGGCAGACTGAGGCTGAGGCTGAAGCAGGCTGAGGCTGAGGCTGAGGCAGGCTGAGGCTGAGGCTTAGGCAAGCTGATACTGAGGCAGACTGAGGCTGAGGCAGGCTGAGGCTGAGGCAGGCTGAGGCTGAGGCAGGCTGAGGCAGGCTGAGGCTGAGACGGAGGCTGAGGCTGTGGCTGTGGCTGAGGCTGAGGCTGAAGCAAGCTGAGGCAGACGCTGAGGCAGGCTGGTGCTGAGACAGGCTGAGGCTGAGGCTGAGGCTGAGGCTGGCTGAGGCTGAGGCCGAGGCTGAAGGCAGACTGAGGCTGAGGTTGAAGCAGGCTGAGGCTGAGGCCGAGGCAGGCTGATGCTGAGGCTGAGGCAGGCTGATGCTGAGGCAGTCTGAGGCTGAGGCTGAGGCAGGCTGAGGCTGAGGCTGAGGCAGGCCGAGGCAGACGCTGAGGCAGGCTGATGCGGAGGCAGGCTGAGGCTGAGGCTGAGGCTGAGGCTGAGGCTGAGGCTGATGCAGGCTGAGGCTGAGGCAGGCTGAGGCTGAGGCCGAGGCTGAAGGCAGACTGAGGCTGAGGCTGAGGCTGAAGCAGGGTGAGGCTGAGGCTGAGGCTGAGGCTGAGGCAGGCTGAGGCTGAGGCTGAGGCAGGCTGATACTGAGGCAGGCTGAGGCTGAGGCTGTGACTGTGACTGCCGTTGCCACTGCGACTGTCATCGCGAATGCGACTGCGACCTCGAGAACAGGAGAATTCTACAATTGGATTCTCATCTGGATCTTAAGGGGAATGTTTCCATATATGCTTCTACACATGGCTGTTAGGTTGCTTTGCCGGGATAATTACCTAACAGCTTGTTCTGATAGGTTTCTAGTGGTGTCAAAAGAGAGCAGCAGATGACTCCACAGGGGGGTCGGGGCGGGACCCGGGGAGCTGTGTCCGAACTCGTGTCCGAATGCGTTTTTCGCAAACAGTCACACATTTCGTGCTCTTCGACCTCCCATAACTCCACTCCCGGGCCACATTCTGAATGCCCGGAGCCAACTGTAGGCCACTTCGTGCTCTTCGACTTCCCAGAACTCCATTCCCGGGCCACATTTTGAATGCCCGGAGCCAACTGTAGGCCACTTCGTGCTCTTCGACTTCCCAGAACTCCATTCCCGGGCCTCATTTTGAATGCCTGCAGCCAACCGTAGGCCAATTCGTGCTCTTCGAGTTCCCAGAACTCCATTCCCGGGCCACATTTTGAATGCCCGGAGCCAACTGTAGGCCACTTCGTGCTCTTCGAGTGCCCAGAACTCCATTCCCGGGCCACATTTTGAATGCCCGGAGCCAACTGTAGGCCACTTCGTGTTCATCGAGTGCCCAGAACTCCATTCCCGGGCCACATTTTGAATGCCCGGAGCCAACCGTAGGCCACTTCGTGCTCTTCGAGTTCCCAAAACTCCATTCCCGGGCCACATTTTGATGCTGATGCAGAGGCTGACAATGGTGATGCTGATGCTGAGGCTGAGGCTGAGGCAGGCAGGCGGAGGCTGATGAGGCTGAGGCAGGCTGAGGCTGAGGCCGAGGCTGAAGGCAGGCTGAGGCAGACGCTGAGGCAGGCTGAGGCTGAGGCAGGCTGAGGCTGAGGCTGAGGCAGGCTGATGCTGAGGCAGGCTGAGGCTGAGGCTGAGGCTGAAGGCAGACTGAGTTGAGGCAGGCTGAGGCGGACGCTGAGGCAGGCTGATGCTGAGGCAGGCTGAGGCTGAGGCTGAGGCTGAGGCGGATGCAGGCTGATGCTGAGGCAGGCTGAGGCACAGAGGCTGAGGCTGAAGGCAGACTGAGGCTGAGGCTGAAGCAGGCTGAGGCTGAGGCAGGCTGAGGCTGAGACTGAGGCAGGCTGATGCTGAGGCAGGCTGAGGCTGTAGCTGAGGCAGGCT